AAAGAGAAGTCCTGTTCTTACCAGTCGGCCTTTTGATTATCAGACTCTTGCCGGTCATACACGCAGACATCATTACCATACCACATGCTCTCCCTGTGCTTTTTTTTGTTTTTGACTGTAAATGCTAAAGAAGGCCCTGATTGGCACATTTTCATGAGTCAAGCTCTGCTGATTTTCTCTTATTCAGTAGTACATACAGGCCCCTAATTTTGACATTACAGGTCAACAGTTTTCTCTTACGAGAGTTATAGGTTATTGTAGAAAATCAGAAATATTTTATACTACTAATACTTTATTAAAAGGTATACATCACCATTGTGCTGTCATCCCTTTCTGATCCATTGATGTGAAAGTGATCAAATCATCTTCACTCAGATGTACGGTAAACATAATAATTTCCCCAAATGTGCTATCCAAATGTGCAAACTGAAATTTGTTCAGTTTAATACTAAGAAAAGTATGTCTTTATTAGTCTGTCTGACACGAATTTCTGACTTCCGTAACTTCTCTGTGGCGCTCAGCCTAGAGCCCTAAACATATTTGAAGACCCCTCAAAAATAAATAGCTGCGTTTTTTAAAGGCTAAATCTTTTCCGAAAACAGCTTGCCACTGTAGTTTTTGACAAACGTCACTAAACAGGACGAAATGGTGCATTTGCTAGGACTATTTTCACCAGTGGCCAGATTTGGTGGTTTAGTGAGTATTTCTGGATGGCCACAGGATGATATATGTGAGATTGCCCCTGTCAAAATAAACTACAGTGTGTAATGTAAATAAGCAATCCAGTGGACTCTTTCTTGGCTCGGATTCTGACGATGGCCAGAGTACTACACTGGTGTCAGGGTCGCAGCACAGCAATGGGGAAAAACGGCAAGTTGACCTTAGTGGATCAAGAGGTTCGGACTTCAGCGGTTATCCTCTTCTTGGTAAGAACCCTATAAGCAGTATCTTCGTCTGCACATATGAGACTGCTGTGAATAATGGGCTCCTTCCAAATCTGTACTCAGAAGGAATAAAGAGTAACATGTTGAACTTGAAGTTTAAAAAAAAATAAAATACAACAGACATGTCATGTTGCAGCTTACACCAGTAATGGAAAAAGCAGGGGGTGAGCGCTTTTGTGAGGGCTTAGCCAATAGAAACCCAGTGTTTTGGTTTCAACTTAAAAGTCACACTTAGGCGTGAATTAATGGACAGGGAGATTTTGGCACTGTTTACTTTGTTACAGGCTTTATGTGTTACACACAAGCTGGTTTGTTAAAGGTCCCATAGTATGCCCTCTTTCAGGTTCATACTTTTAGTTTGGGTTTGTACTAGAAAATGTTTAAATGCTTTAATGTTCAGAAATCACTATTTTTCTCACACTGTCCATTGCAGTACCTCTGTTCAACCTCTGTCTGACCACTCCGTTTTAGTGCCTGTCTCTTTAAGGCTCCCCTTGTGGCCCGCATCCTCACTCTCTTGCCGGTGTGCCTGATGGCTATGAAAATAACGATATGGGGTACAAAATTTGATGAATTCAATGTCTGTCAAACTAAAAATGAGACAATAATTAGATAAAAACTAAAAAACTATTAGACGCTGTTGGAGTGTAGTGTTTCTGGTGCCTGGGTCTCACTGATTACAGCACTGGATCATATTTTATGGAAAAAATATTTTCTGATAGACAGATGGCTGTACTTGTCAGCAATTGCTTTAGACACTAACTACTGCTAACTGTAGCTGCCGCTAGCTAGTTAGCGCCGTTAGTCATGCAGCTAGCCTATGCCTGGACTGGTTATATATTACAAAGACTGAGCTGGCAAAAAAGATGGAGCATGTTTTTTTCCTCATCGTTTGGGGTTCTTTAATAATAATAATACATTTTATTTGTAATACACTTAATACATGTGAAACAAATCTCAAAGTGCTAAGATCATAAAAGGAAAGGAAAAAACATCAATATAAAATACAAATAGGTAATGCAGGGTTAGTCTTTAGACACACTGGGGACACATTTATGTTGAAAAGACATGAAAAAGTGCTTTTAGGGCTTCTGGCCTACATGCTTCCATAAATGAGGCCCCAAACAACAGCTATAGATAGAATTTTAGTAGGAGAGTGTTGCCAAGTGGATAATGTGAGCCATCAGTATGCTGTCAGGATAACAGGCTTGTTCATTTATGTGAGGTGCTCATCAATTTAACTTATTCCATGGGAATCCCCCTCCTTTACCTTTATTCTACAATCTTTGTCCACATATGATTTCATATTCTCACAGCTGGATGCATCCACACTAGGTTAGCCTTTGTTGAAGGCAGGCGCACAGTTCTTTTGATTAAATCTCAATACAGGTAAAAGTACTTCAGTCGACTCTACCTTGCCCCTTCTTTTTTTTATGCCAGGCTTCTGACTAGGATAATCTTTACTTCAGGGATTATGAAGTTGTCCTGTAGTCATCATTTTTGCCAGCTTAGCTCATATTACCCAGCATCCCGTGGCTTAATGGTCTGAGCTTTGTATCTCAGTTCAAAAGGAACACCGAAGATTTGTGCCACGGTTCAGCCATAAGTCGGTTAAACCAGAATGGTGGTCGTTCACAACCCCCAGTTTCACGGTTCAAAGCCCAATCAGTGAAGATGAAGCACCCACTGTTGACAGAGGTATTCCAGTTACCTTGAGTGGAGCCATATTGGAGCTGGCCGGACTTAACCTCTTGCCCTTGCCACATGCTGTGGAGGAAAATGGAGGTAGAAATAGGCAGTATTTATGTTCATCTTGGGTAGTGAAATTCTGAGTAGTTCTTCCGCTTTTGAAGGTCAGGACGAAGTCCAGCTGTGGCTTAATTGCCCCGGTGGAATAATCAGCAGCTTGATTGGTGTATCCTGCCTGTGAGTTGATCTCAAGAAGAAACCAGTGGCCTTTAAAAACTGAAAATATATCCCACCAGCCTCTGAAGATCAGAGTTCAAAATAAGTGATTCACCATGACACACAGCAAATGGTCTCTCAATCAGAAAAGGACATGCACCCACCAAACAAAGTGTATAGCTGAATAAACAACTCCGTCTGCCCCAGTGTTTGCTTTTGATGGGCTGCTTGACTCCCCAGTCTGGCACACAGTGACGGGCATGCAGAACATTGAGCTTTTGATTTGTGAGTCTTTCCCATTGCTCAAAAAGCCCAAAGGCTGGTTGACTGAATTAAGAGTTTGAGTGTTATCTCCCCAGCGGAGGCAGGGTACTGATTGCTGCACTCATTGGTAGTGAAGAGCACGTCTGTCTGGTGTAATAGCTGCCATAGAAACCACATCAGCCAAGTAATTGTTTAGGCAATGTCAGAAAATGAAGAGGACAACATTAAAATTCGTTTGCTTGGCTTCTTCTTGCTTTAGTTTGTTGTGCTGCAGTGTTACAGTAAATTGACAGCTTTGGACCAGAGCAGACCACGTCAATTTAAAAAAACCTTCTGCTTGGTTCCCCGAGTGTTAAAATAGCAAACCACATGGTTAAAATAATGACATTACTAAACAGTACAATTTTAAAGTAGTATAGTAAAATAAGTCGGTTAAACCAGAATGGTGGTCATACTATTGGATTTAAAGGTAAAGGCAGAAGTCAAACCACAAATCAGGAATTGTTCAACGGAGACAGTTTTTACCTTCTTATTTAGTGTGTCTTCTGTTGGCAGTGAATGGCAAAACAAACCTATGGCAGAGCAAGGCATCTTTTTCTATTCAGATTTGGTGATTGATTAAGTCATCCAATTGAAGAATGACATCACTCAAGACAGCAGAATGTTTCCTGAATGTGTGACTTCCAGAAAGATAAAAACCTGCAGTGAATAGTTCCAGTTTCTGACTGCTGCAATCTTTCATGTTGCAAGCACAATTGCTTGCAACATGAAAGTTGTAAAAAACAAATGTAATTACAGTTCATCAGGCCCTATTCTTTTTTGTTGATTTGGCCGTCGGTTAATTGCTGAGAGCTTAGATACAGAATTCGGCAACATAGCTAACAAGGAATATGAAAGTATGATCGAAAGGTTAGCAGTGGGACGATTTGACCGTTTGTCTACTTCCTTTGGACTCACTGTACTTGCTGTAGTTGTTCGCACTTTGCCAAACATCATTTTAGCCGTATTGTGTTCACTGTAGGGCTGCAACTAACCACTATTTTGATAGTCGATTATTCTATCGATTGTTGAAACGAATAATAGACTGTTCGGATTATGAATTGCAAAATTAAACAATGCCTCTTATTTAGATATCAGCTTTTAAATTAATCTAGAGGTTGTTTTAGGCATGTGCTAATTGACAGTCAACACTATAAAATTAATACTGCCTTCAAAAATATGAACGTTTCTGCTGCAGCAACAGAAAGTTCAGCTGAAATCAACAACTGACAAAACTCTTGAGTCTCGGATTAGCCACCACCTCACGCATAGACAGGAGAACAGTATTTTTTTTCTTTAGAAAGTATAAACGTGTCCGGTGTTGTCTAATCTTGTGCATTCGGCAGCAACGCGTTCTCCAGCTGGAAACGTCGCCATGAGAAATGCATCGTTTATGATTGTAAGGTCAGAGCACATCTGGAAAGTGAACAGGACCATTGTGTATCATTATTTGCTACTCTCATTAACAATCGATTCATTGGCCAAGGGAAACTGTATAGAAAACATTATAGCTAATAACGTGAAATAACATGGCTTTGCATGACATACACTTTGGAGGTGATTGGGATCTTCAAGAGCTTATTAATATGTATGTTAATTTCAACCAGATGATGCAAGCTAAGAATATTCTATTTCCTCACTTGGAGTGAAAAGAGGGTGCAGACTTGCAATTCAACCTGCATTGTGGAATGTTATAACTCTTTACCCATCACTGTGGCTGGTACGTTGAGAAAATTAATCCGCCACTGCACACAATCACCTGCGTTTGGAGGTTGGCGTTTGCTAATTTCCAACCCTACAGAATAAAAGGATGAACAGTAAATAATAAGTCTTTTTTTGTGTGTCCAGGATGTTACGGTGTGGACGGCGAGAGTGACTCGATCATGAGCTCTGCCTCAGAGAATTCAACAGAGCCTTGGTTCTGTGACGCCTGTAAGAACGGAGTGACTCCCAGCTGCGAGCTGTGCCCCAACCAGGATGGCATCTTCAAAGAGACAGACGCCGGGAGGTGGGAAACAGCGGCACATTGGCCCGGTGGTCACCTGATATTTTTAACTGATGACCTTAGCTGGTTGAAATGCTGAAGGGAATATATAAAACTGTATCTAAATTGTACATATATTCAGTAGTGGAGAGAAGAGTCCGTTGGATTAAGGAGCAGAGAGAGAGAACTGGCAGAGGAGTGTGAGAAGGGAAAGGAGAGAAGAGAAGAGATAGAGGAAGAAAAGGAGTGAGAGAAAAGAGTGCGTTATGTGAAGCGTGGAGACTTCAGCCACGTTATCGCTGATAGTGCTCCTCAGCCAGGCTGCAGCCGAATTTACTACTTCACTAGAGCATGAAAAACACAGCAAATTAAACTGTGAAGCTGTTGCTTGCTAGAGATGGATATCTTTATATTGGACTTCGGATTCTCTTCCCTAAAGTCCGCATTTGAAATTGTGTCACACCAAACTGTAGCTAGAGTCTGGGGCTACATAAATCTATGAATCCATTTCTTTTTGAAGTGTCTGTGCAACTCACTGCAGCCAATTTCATGATATTAAGTTTCTTCTTGTCTGCAGTAATTCACTACACTAAATGCAAAAGTAACCACAGCAATAGATTTTAATCATTTTGATGGCGTTACTTGAAATCAGAGACCAGAAATCAATCAATTTTAAATGTCACCTTTTTAAAAGTACTTTTCGTCTTGAAACATCTTTTGGGTCATGATTTGTGTTCTGATGTGGTGTTGTTTCTCTTCAACAAACCAGTTTCTTAGCAGATTTCTTCCTCTTCGTTTTCAGATGGGTGCATGTGGTTTGTGCACTTTACGTTCCTGGAGTAGCATTTGGAGACATAGATAAACTACGACCAGTGACGCTCACAGAGATGAATTATTCAAAATACGGGGCCAAGGCAAGTACTCTTTTGGATCGTTTGTTCATGTTGATTTAGACGTGATGAACATCATGCATGAGCCACTTTTTAGATTTAATTTTTTAATAGTATATGCTGAATGTATATCAAAATATATCAGTTGTGTTTATCATTTCTGTTAAGTTATTGTCCTCTAGAACTAGAAAATGCAAAATTTTCTGAAGGAAAGGATGGTCACTTCCACTGAAAACGCTGGAGACATTTTTCAAATAATGTTTACAAATGCTAATTCTTGCTTGCAAGGTATGAGAGTTGGAGTTGAAACTGAGGCACTTAAGGAGTTGAAGCACTGAAAGTGTTTGAAGTGTCAGTTGAAGTGTAAGGATTAAAAGGAGTTGAAGTGTAATCACTGAACAGTTGAACTCTCGTTTGAAGAATGAAATGAAGTTGAACTGTCAGGTGTAGAGTAAAAGATGAAAGCAGTTGAACTGTCAGTTCAGGTGTAAGCAGTGAAACAGTTGAAACTGTCATTTTCAGAATTGATCAAAGCCCTCGAAATGTCAGTTTAAGTGCAAGCGCTGGAGATAGCTGTGATGGCACTTCAAGTGTCATAAACAGTCGAAATGTCAGTTCATTTGCAAGCATTGACAGCAATAGATTCTATATGTCAGTGGAATTATAATAGCTGAACTTTTTAAGTCTTAACTGTGATTTAAACCCACACTGTTGAAAGGTCCATTGAAGTGAAAACATTGAGAGCAGTTAACAGAAGAGACATGTTAAAAATCCTGCAGGAGCTGTGTCTTACATTAGTGTTGTAGTCAAGACCGCCCAAACCGGGACCAAGTCAAGACCAAGACCGAGATCATAGGGTCTCCTCAAATTGATCTGAAAGATCCACATTCCCATTAAAACACCCACACGCAAACACTAAGCTGAAATCTTAGCATAACATCTTTAATCAACACTCCTTTTCCATGCTTCCAATCGTGGGGAGGGGTGAAAGTCGTTATCGGAAACAACACATTTTTAATTAGGGTTATTGGTTGCATTTGAAGTAATACGTTTTGCCTTCAATTAAAGTTAGGATGTTAACAAATAAATCAGACAATGTAAAAGCAATTTATTGATATTCCCAAAGTTATTGTCTTGACTGGTCTTGAAATAAAATCCAGAGTCCTCAATGACTGAGACAAGACTGAGTACAAATGTAGTCGAGTCTGAAACGAGACCAATACCATCAAAAAGTGGTCTTGAGACCGGTCTCGAGACCAAGACCGGTCTCAAGTACAACACAATCTTACATATTTATTGATTAGTGTATCAAAGTACACAAAGTTACTCTCACAGTTATTCCATCGAACCTGTTTCACTTCACTGAGTAATTTTCTTGCAGGTAATGACTTCAGGCTATCCACCCATCTGTTAACTATTCCCGCCTATCCTCTAGAGGGTCGCGGGGAGTTGGACCCTATCCCAGGAGCTGAACAGGGGCCTGGCAGGGCTCACACATAGAGACAGACAACCATTGAGGCTCACATTCACACCTACGGGCAATTTAGAGTGACCAGTTAACGTAACCTGTGGTCTCCATACAGACAGGTTGCTGCTGCTGCCAGCCCTATCTTTCTGCACTGAGTTTGCCCTTTTGATAAAAACAATACATTATAAGTCCTGTTAACAAATGAAGGGATTCTGTCCACACAAATGCTCCAGGAGGTGTCTGTTACATAATCTGCAAATATAGACAAACTGGAGTGAACAGTGTAATGTTGCTGGTATGATGTTCATATGACCATCATCAGACTGACTGAAATAGCCTCTAACCTGTTAACATGGACGCCGAAATGAAAGGTTCCGCGAGGCACACGTGTTGCTCAGGCTGGCTGTGTGTCCCGTGTGTGAACGTCCTTCCTTGTAATATTAGATAAAGTGAATCTGCCGGATATAGTTGTGTTTGCATTTTAAGTGTCACAAATAGTGTCAGTTAATACACTGTACTGACAGCAGCTGATGCGTCAGTAAGTGTTATAGCTAAAAGTATTAATAGCAGTAAATGTCAGTTGAAGAGGAAAAATCATTTCATTCTATGTTGTAAAAGCATTTGAAATGTCAGTTGAAGTGAAAGCATTGACTGCAGTTTTTGACACTTTTTGTCACTAACCACCATACCAATACACAAAAGAAATTTTTAAAGTCAGTAAAAAGACCTTTAAACGTTTGTCTCTCTGGGAGAACAAAGCGCACATTTTATCCATCCTCCTTTGGAGATAAATGTGATTCCTTCAGTGACTCAGAGAGAAAATGCATTGTTTTGAAGTAGATACGTCTTCTTCAACCATCCCATTAGAAAAACTTGATGATCAGCTATGTGGTGATGTGTTAACCGAAACCAGTGTTCACTTTCTGTATGGTGCGGCTACAACTTCAGCTCTCTCGGTTGTGTTCTGTTGCATTTAGGAGTGCAGTTTTTGTGAGGACGCCCGCTTTGCCAGGACTGGCGTTTGCATCAGCTGCGATGCAGGAATGTGTCGCTCCTATTTCCATGTCACCTGTGCACAGAGGGAGGGACTCCTGTCTGAGGCTGCAGCAGAGGAGGTGAGACAAAAAAACCCACAATGGCACATTATTACTTAATTACTTCACTTTTCTAAGGGGTGAAAACAATCCCAATGTCAGGTACCATGCTGCATGACAGACCGAGGTGAATTTCTTTGGAAGTGTATTCAAAGAGCTGAGGTTATTACGTAGACATAAAACACCAAACACAAGGAGAGACCAGCCTAGTGAGCTTTATCCAACAACTTGTTCTGCTGACATAGGATGTTCAAGGTGAAGTTCTTTAAATACCATTCACACTTGCAAGTAGGGCTGTGCAATATGAAATGTCATTTGACGATAAACGTCTACCCTTTACAATTATGCTCTATCGTTTATTTCGTTATGTCGCAAATTCAACACTTAAACGTAATATTTTCATGAAGGGACAGAACTTTACACCGTTGAAGTTAGTTTTACGTTTTATCACAGACGTCTGCCGAGTATCCAACGTAAAACTAAAGTCTGTTGAGCCACACAACACTATTCCAGCAGTTCCAGATAGGGCTACAACTAATGATTATTTTCGTAGTCAACTAATCTGTTAATTATTTATTTGATTAGTCGACTAGTCACGATTATTTTTTGTTACCCCCAAACCCTAACCCTAATAATTTAACTAATTAAATTTCTTTCAAGTGAATTACTGATGTCCAACGCACAGGCTTACTCGCTAACGTTACCATTAAGTGAACTAGGTTAGCTATTCAGAATGAACACTAGTATCAACACCAGGGGGGAAATAGGGAAGAAGACAAGACAGCGTAGGCTACTCCTATTATTCACTGATTTATTATTGCACTTAACGTGTTTGCTAACACAGCTAAAAGTGCGTTCTCTTAGCACCTTGAAACACCGGTTGCAATTTGCAATCCTCACCACCAGATGCCACTAAAACTTAAACTGTACCTTTTAAATGATTCCAAAAGGCCAGCAGCTGGAAAAACTGCTTCATTTGTATTTTCTTCCTGTGACAGAGTGAGAAATGGATGGCACGGGGCTGTAAAATGTCAATGTGGTAAAAAAGCAGTAATACACCTGTTAATACATGCTTGTGTTTTTGTTCCCTCAGGATATTGCTGATCCATTTTTTGCGTACTGCAAACAGCATGCTGACCGCTTTGACAGGAAGTGGAAAAGGAAGAATTATCTGGCCCTACAGTCTTACTGTAAGGTTTCTCTGCAGGAGAGAGAGAAACAGCTTACTCCTGAAGCTCAGGTAAGGATCATTCATTCACATCAGCTGCAGCAGCCAAACATCAGAAAAACTGTTCTGCTTCATCAGTGGAATGCTGAAGATTAGGTCTGGGGTTACAGTTAGGTTTAGGTTTATGATGTTAAGGTAAGTTTAATATCCATTTATATGCAGTCATATTTTCATAGACATAGATTGTATAAATGACATGAATAAGAAATAGAATAAATTACCAAATAGAATCAGTCAGGATTTTTTATTAGCCAACAGCAGGAAGCCATATTTGCCATAATGTTAGTTGCAGTAGCTAATTAAGAAGCAGATGGGGCTCATTGTGAGGGATGAAGCTGAACTTGATTCAGGCAAAAGATGGACACATGTGCCAAAAAATCGATACAGCAATATATCGTTATACATTTTTCTATGATACTGTATCGATATTCAAGCCCATCATATCGATACATCAAATTTAAAAAGTTAGCTCAATGCTAACACATAATAGGAATCTCCGTTAATGTGCTAACAAACATTAGCATCGTGATGGCGATAATATAATCTTAACACAACTACATATTTTGCTTCACATGCCTGAAAGACATACTGTGCAAATACTTAAATTACATGTTTCTTGAGCTCCATGTGAAATAAAAAAGCGCTGCTAACTTCACTGGTTTGATCCGCTACTCTGCTGCTTCAGCACTCCAGACTAGCTACAGCAACCCCAAAGGGTCAGAACTCAAACCCAAAATTCCCAATGGCCTAAAAATACAGCTATCACTATGTGGAGAAAAGGCAGCACAATGCTGTGTCACTGAACAGTTATCTATATAATGTGATGTAGATATTTGACTTAGGTGGTACGCAGCAATTTGTATTTTCAGCGATAAATTCAGTGAATTAGCATTTATATGTACCTTTTTATAAAGAAATGTTTTTTATAATAATTTTTCATAGTTGCACTGTAGTTCTGTAGTTTTAATTTACAGTTTGAAAAATGTGTGCTGCTTTCTAACAGTTTGGATTTGCAGTGAATAAATAGAAAAAACTTTTCACAGACATTTTGTATTCATAGTTACACAGATATCATGGTGTATCATTTTAGGATTGTCTAGCGATATATCGATTATCGCAAAATTGCTGTATTATTGTTATCAAGAGCCATGTATCATATCGTGAGGTACCCTGCGATTCCCACCCCTTGAGTGAAATATATGATTTAGTTTTTATTTAGTTTAATTTTTTATTTTTATTTATTCCATTACCATATTAGTTACAGTGTTATGGAGGGGAGTCATTCACCAGGTCTTGAATTTATACTTTATATCCATTTATATAAAGTTGAGCAGAAGTTGAATGAAAAAAAGAAAGAAACATTTTTGGCATAAACACCTGAGGGTGGAAGCCAGCACCATTTAACAACTGATTACAAACAATACTAATCAACATGGCGCTCGGTGTTGGATTGCAGCATCACTTCAGGAACGCAATACAATAAACAAGCACATACACAGAACAAGGCCTTGTCCTCCATCATCAGTGTTGGACCTCACTGATGCTCTTGTGGCTGAATGGCAGCAAATCCCTGCTTCCACGTTCCAACATCTGGTGGAAAGCCTTAAATCAGAAGAGTGGAGGCTGTTATAGCAGCACACTATTGCCCATGGTTTTGGAATCACACAGGCGTAATGTTCAGGTGCCCATATAGTGTATCAGTCTGATGTTACAACTCACTGATGATTTACTAACAGTAAAATGTGTGTGTCCCACCTGCAGGCCCGAATCACTACCCGCCTGCAGCAGTACAGAGCAAAAGCAGAGCTGTCCAGGAACACGCGACCTCAGGCGTGGGTGCCCCGGGAGAAGCTGCCGCGACCTCTGACCTCTAGTGCCTCAGCCATTAGGAAGCTGATGAGGAAGGCGGAGCTGATGGGCATCAGCACTGACATTTTCCCTGTGGACACGTCTGACGCCAACGCCAGCATGGACGGACGCAGGAAACACAAGCAGCCTGCTCTCACGGCGGACTTTGTCAACTACTACCTGGGTGAGGAAACTTGTTACAGCGTGAAAGTAAAGAACTCTCAGCCCATGTCTTTTCAGATACTATTGATCTGATGTAAGTTTTAGGTATGCACCAAAATTAACTTTCTTGGCCGGAGCCGAAACCGAATATAATGAAAAAATTCTCAGAATACCGAACAAATGCATTCACATTTTCTCCTCTTTTTTTTTTTTTTTTTACCATTGCATAAATTAAATAGTCAAAATGTGCTTTTTACTTAGTGTTTCCCACAGGATGTGGAGAGACTATGGTGGGTGGGTCCAAGGCCCGAGAGGGTCCGGTAAAGTAAATTACATGTGTCCATTTCCTTTTAATGTACACATGTAATATGTTTTATACTTTCTGTGAATATAATCCAGTTAATCTTATTTCCATCCTGTATAGACACCTTATTTTGAAAACTGGAGCTAAATGAATCAAGTCCGATCTAATATGATAAATTTTGTATGTGGTTCTCGTATCGCGTAACATGAAGACTTCACAGCCTCTCTTCAGGTAGGGCTCTAACACTGCAACACTTGTCTTTGTAAAGAGACAAACTGACAGGATAAAGTCGCCAACTTGCCTGTCAGCTCGCTCTGGTCCGTTTCAGTTACCATAAAGGCTTGAATATGTGTGCACTCCAAATGTAGGTGCGGCTAGCTTAATCGCCTTCTCACAAACAAGTGACAGAAACACTCAAAGCGGGTCACACCATTTGTTGCGTTTTCTAAGAAATCAGCCACAGATGGAGTGGATGTGCCAGGAGACAATTCAGCAGAACAGTGTCTGCAAACAGCGATTTTTGTTTCTTTCTCAGACAATTTAAAATGCGTCAATGTAATTGTTCGATAAAATTTAATCTGCCTTTTGACTTATTAGGCCGAACACCGAAAGTGCTGTTTTTGCTATTTTTGGCCGATTAATTTCGGTAGCCAGACATTCGGTGCATCCCTAGTAAGTTTTAGAATCAGCTGTGAATCTTTAACCATTGTCTTGCCATTCTTCCATTACCAGTTCTTCTTTTGCAACAGTGTGTAGACGCAAAATGGGGAAAAGCTTTTCCAGATTAGTGCAGGGTATAGCAACACTTTGGAAGCTCCTTGCTTGCAGTGAGTGAAATTGATAGATGTCCATAAATAAACAAGAATGCATTAGACTGTGTGAAGAATAGGGGTGTGCCAAAAAATCGATAAAGCAACACATTGTTATGCATTTTTTCATGATACTGTATCGATATTCCAGCCCATCATATCGATACATAAGAAAAAATAAAAAATAGTGCTTTGACAGTTAGCTCAATGCTAATATAATATATTCATAATGGGAATCTCCATTAACATGCTAACGGACATTAGCATCGTGATCGCGATAATATAATCTTAACATAACTACACATTTTGCTTCACAGGCTTAACATCCTGAGTGACATAGTGTGCAAATACTTAAAAGTACATGTTTCCTGAGCTCTGTGTGAAATAAAAAAGAGATGCTAACTTCAGGTGGAGAAAAGGCAGCACAATGCTGTGTCACTGAACAATATAATGTGATGTACATATTTGACTAGTACACAGCAATTTGTATTTTCATACATCGTTATATCGATTATTGCAGAATTGCTGTATCGTGATATTATTGATATTGTGAGCCGTGTATTGTATCGCGCGGTACCCTGTGAATCTCTAGTGAAGAAGGGAGCTAACCAGACTGCTGTAGCCTGCTTCTCATCTCTACTAGCAGTTGGAGGCGACCAAGGCGGTCAGTGGTTGTTCCCTCCGGCTGGATGAAGTTTGATGCTCCTGATTTTCTGCATAGCCTAATCCATGTGTTCCTGCAGCTTGAGGCTCTCCGCAGCACCACAAAACTCAAAATTCTTCCATCTCACGAAGAAAATAAAGGTCAGATCGAAACAGTGTAGAGAAGCTGAACGAAAATTGCCCGATAATTTTAATCTGTTTATGATTTGTTTATATCCAGCTCGCCGAATTAACTAATAACAGTTCCTGTTTGCTGGGTACCACTGGATGTTGTGACAACTATAACTGAATTAATTTGATACTGAAGAAATCTTAAAAACCAAAGGATTCTCAGGAAAGCATTCCTGTCCCAGTAGCTAGTGAGTTACAAACTGAACGTTGAGCCTCCTTAATTACATTTAATCAGGCACAGCCATTGCCGTAGTGTGTCTGCTGCAGGTTTATCAAATGTAACACACAAAGCTACACAAATCAGACTCATTAAAAATCAAAATCAATATTTGTCTGTTTTGGTTTTAAAACAGAAAAAACAAAAAACAATGTTTTTCCGATTCGGTTTTTGAAACAAAATAATCAAAGAACCAACCATACATGGATTGTTCTGCTGTGTCGATTTCTATTTATTAACTCTCCATTGTGAGTGTGACAGTATTATATAAGTGCAATGCTAAATAAGTGGAGTACTTTTTTAATAGACTGAGTCACAGCATGTTAGCCAGTAAACCCTGCATTACCATAACACCATCTACCCCTTTTATTCTTTCAAAGCAAAGATAGAGCTTTTCATAAAGAATTAAGCAAATGCATAGGTTCAAATGCTCTTCTCATGCAGTTTTAGCACACAATTCACATCTTCTCATCTTTCATGTACTCAGCCTGTATGCAAAATGTATGCGGCAGTGACACAAGCAGCACTGTTTTCCCTTTCCATTCTCCTTGAGAGCTGCCTGAGGAAGAGCACTGAGCTTAAAATGTGATTCTTATCTGTGCATTTGCAAATGGCTGCTCTTATGGTTGTCTTCTGCACCATGCACATATATTTATAGATATGCAATTAATGCATCAGTGACATTTTATAGAACGAAGCTTCTAGTCTCTGTTTGTTAGATCCAAAGTTCAGGAATGTAGTCTGGTGTTATGATTGTAATTTAACTAAGCCAAAAGGGTTTTAGCATTTATCTCCATTCTGCATATCTTTGACTGTTGTACATAGTGGTTAAGATATTGTGTGAATGCCGTGTAAAGGCATTTTCTCCTCAAATAGTGCATGCTAAATAAATGATTGTGATGCCATGCCAGTAACCTTGAGCGCACACTCCATTAGCCTTCAGTAGAGGGCCTATCTGCCATCAGCACACTTTCATGTGCTTTTTCCTGTATATAGATTGTGATTGTCCTATTGATTGTTGTCCCATTGTTATTCAGAGCGGAACATGCGAATGATCCAGATCCAGGACAACATCTCTGAACAGAAGAACTTAAAAGACAAGCTGGAGAGCGAGCAAGAAAAACTGCACGTGGAGTACAACAAGGTGAGCAGCAAAATCCAAACCTACAGAAAAATGTTTCATGTCTGGGGACGGGCTGCTTCATGAAATGTGTTGTACAGTGGTACAACACATTTTGCTGCTACCATTATAATATTACATTCTGATAAGTAAGATTATTATGCAGTAATTCAAACACACATAATAGGACTAACAGCAAAGGAAAACACCTGGTGTAGCTGTGCCATTTGGGATTTGTAGGCTACAGCCACCATTGTCATTCAGTAATCAAGCTGAAGAAAATGTCTCTTGTTTTATTGGTAGGTTATGTTTCAGGCTTAGTATACTTTTTTTGTTATTTATCAAATACTGTATTTTTTAAAGAGAGTAAAGTCTGATTAAAACAATATAGATATTAGAAGTATTCTTCCCAGACTAAGAGTCTACTGCCATGCTGGCTCTGTGAGGCTGTATTTAGGCACAGAGGGGCTTTAATCCAAATGCTGACATCAGCATGCTAACATGCTCACAATGACAATGCTAACATGCTGATATTTAGCAGGTATAATATTTACCATGTTCACCAACTTAGTTTAGCTTGTTAGCATAGAAAATTCAGGGGATGACTAAAGTTATTACAGTTCATGTGGAGGGCAACAGTCCATGCAGTACTTCTTGAGATATTTCAGTCTGGATCAAAGTGGTGGCCCTGATGACCTAACAACATCTATCCCCAGAGCCACGTTGCTAGCATAGCTAAAATACTGTATTGTTTTTCAATGATTTTGTGTGTCTCTAGAGTTTTCTCTCCATTTATATTTTCTCTTTTAATTAGTAACATATTTAATAGCATATACACAGCTGTCCTCCCCCTCAGAGGATCCTGCTGACACCCAACTGTGCTGAAGAGTATCATTTCACAGGCAGGAAACACACTCTGTTGATGTATGGGAGCACTTCTGTTAGAAAATCTGAATATTTTTTACCAACCAGCTTTGTGGCTCTAGGGATGGCAGTGTGGGTCAGATGGACCACCCCTGTGGTCCCGACTGAAATACTTTGAGATGGATTGCCACAAACCTTTGTATAGACACTCGAGGTCCCCAGAGGATCAATCCTACTGACTTTGGTGATTCATTTCCTTTTCCTCTGGTGCCCTCATGATGTTAACATTCAGTGTGAGCTGTCCTGATGGATTGCCATTAAATTAGCTACAGAAATTAATTGTCATCATCAGGTCAACATTGACTTTGTGTAATACTTTGGTTTATGACCTGCAAAACTAATAACTCGTTTCCAACAGCCTGAGCTGTACTTTGTGTTTAGTGCTAATCGGACTGGACTAAACTAAAGTTGGGTAATCATTACCTGGTAAACTTCAGTCAGCATGTTAGCTGGCATTAGCCTGTAGCTCGAAGCACCCTTGTATCTAACAAAGCTATAGCATGATTGAAGACTCTTAGTCTTCTTTGGTTAAAAATCACTCAAACTCAAACATGGTAAGCTTTAATCCTAAATTAAGATTCATATCTTTCGGTTGACAGCTGGCCTGTGGGGACAGAGGTAGCAAAAAGCTGTTAGTTAATATATCAGAGTCTCTTCTTGTAGTGTTCCTGCATTTAGGTTTATTTGTCTTTGCACCATGATCTAGCTAGCTAAGCTACCTAACAGCAGTGTAACAGTGTCAGCGTCAGCAGTGGTGATGTACAGTGTTGAGTTGAAAGTGCAAGATTAAGGCAAAACAAAATCAGTATGTGGCCATCCTACTTCACTTGTTTCCTCTGTTTTTATGGACCGTGTTCAGCTTAGCATGTACAGCTCTGTCACCACATTACATATGGCCTTTCTATGCTACATAATAAAAACAGGAATCGTGTGCGTGCCTCTCTCTCGTCTCTCCTCAAACATGTGACCTCTACAAAGAAGCTGCTGCTCCATCTGTCAACATGAGAGAGGGAATACAACGGCAGAGTAAATGTCACAAGAGTTAATGTTGCGTTTAGTCTTCTGCCGTGCGTGTTAAGCGTTATTAATGGAGTGTGTGTTGCTAATTGCACTGCTTGAGTTGCTCTTACATGGCTTGGCCTTGGAGAAAATGCCAGTGGACAAATGTCATTACAAGTCTGGCTTTGACTGATAGATGTAGTAGAGCCCAGTCAAGGTTTACTCCACCACTAGTCTCAACTCTCCACATCATATGAAGTGTTAACATTAAACAGGCACACTGGCTGGCATTGGTTCAAAGGTTAACCTGCAGCATTAGTTGTGCAACTGTGCATATTATGATATTTTTTACTCCAACTGTGACACTTCTCACTACTGTTCTATCCCTGTGTCTGTGAGCCAATTAAACCAAAGCTAGGGAGTAGCTTTTAATCAAGTAGGCTTGTGATTGGCTGTCTATTGGACTGCATTACACAAAGCCAGTGTTGTGTTTCTCTAGTGCCTGGATGGAAGTATTAGTAAATGTATGTGAGCTTTGGAGAGCCAAAGGGACTCTAGAGTTTTTTTCCAAAATGTAAGAAAACCTTTAATCACAGGCCTTTAACAAACATAATGTCACAATTTCCTACAAACCTTTAAACATTTTTGACAATTGTTAATTTGCTTTCTATCAGAGTAAAACGTAGAGTATTGATGCCAGAGGTCTGTGGTGTCCTTGCCTCATGTTGTTTCCTCTCCCCTCCTGCAGCTCTGTGAGTCTCTGGAGGAGCTTCTGAATGTGAATGGAGAGCTACGAAGTGAAGGCCAAGCCATGTGGACTCTGCTGGGGGGCATCGTAGGACAGGTACCACCACCACTATTGCCTCTAAACACACCATCTCCCCCTTCTCCTGTCACCCTACTCTTCACACCCTGATTAGTTGTTGAGAAAGTTTGCAGAACTCCTGTTTATAGATTTCTTTTTTTGGCGTAGCAGTGATTTGTGATGGAGAGTTATCCAGATTGCGAGTAGCAACCCACATGGCCACCAGTGGGATGATATTGCAGGCTCTAATAACCCTGCTGTTTATAAAAACCTTTCATTTTGCACTGATTGACCTGTCATTTGCCATGAAGTCAGACCTGACTGAGGGGAAGTAAAAACTGTCTCTCACTTCCCGTTCCTATGGCAACCTATTGCCAAGATGTACCACTGTGGCTGATGGGTTATTTAATGAATGTGAACTGCAATCTACAGAAATAGACTGAAATCTTCTGGGGGTTTTGTTAGGAAACACTAAAGCTTGGATTTACACACATAGTCATTTACATAGAATATAAAGCAGCACCAGTGCAGGACTACTTTCTTAAAACTAAACTTTAATTCAGCTTTTGACATACAAATATTCAGCCCCAAAGCGTTCAGTGTAAAATGAATAAAGCCGACATCATGGAATAAATAATCATATGGATAAATAGAATAGAATATATAATACTTAATAAAAAATATTTATTAAATTATTAACTCAGTCCATTCCTAAAAAAGGAAATCTATAAACAGGAGTGTTCTACATGTATGTAAGTACCAGTATATTCCATAAAAAGCCTTATTAAAAGTATGGTCGTTGAGAGTATGAGCCGTGAAGATAGACGGTCAAATGATGTTAATGCGTTGGCTTGGCAGCAGAATGGACACAGACTCGACGGAGACTGTCAGTGAATCTGCAATGACCACCATAAATCACCTAATTATGAACATGCACGGTTTAAGTAGCAACATCAGTCACAGCACCGCATGCTTTTGTGTCATCTATCTGCCACATTTTCGTCTCCTATTTGTCATCCTGCCTGTGCATTTGCAGAAATTATTGATGTCCCCAACTGGGACTGTCATCCTTCTTCCAGTACATGGTCAGTGCTTTTGTTCCTGGTGCTTCTGGAAGTTTAGCACTCCTGGCAACTTCACAAGAAAACACTCAGAAGACATTTTCCACTAGCCTTGGTAAAATGTCATCAGGCTCAAACAGCTACAAAGCAGCTGATATGACCGGGATAAGTGTAGTCCAGTTTCACACCAATCAACAACAACAACAAAAAATAACTAACTAGACCTGCAGGCAAGCATCTGACCAGGTTCAGAGCTGAAGGCGCTTTGAGGGCACTAAGGGCAACCAAAATGTTGTCCCTCCTTCCATATTTAAAAAATATATACGCAATGACAATGTGTTATGATATGCTTATTGCAGGAGGGGTATGATATATCAAGTGTGAAACCAAAGACCAAGACTGTCAGAATCAAAACAACCTTGAGACTGAGATGGTCTGACATAATAGAATCAGAATCAGAGGGAGCTTTACTGCCAAGTAGTGTTTTACACATACAAGGAATTTGCTTTGATGATAAAGTGCTGCACATAGAGAAACATACAGTTGACATAAATCAATTTAGAAATATATGAATATGGAATAAACAAATGCAAGTTATATAAGAATAATAAAAGAATAGAGAAAAATAATACAACGATTTGAAGAGAAAGAACAACGTGGCAGATATTTGCATGTGGATTTGTGTTGTGCAGACGTGTTGCAACGGAAGAGGAAATAGTGTACATAAATATATAAATTGACAAAATATAAAAATATAGAACAACGATTAACAATTAACAACAAATATGTGCAATGTGCCAGTTTTGTGCATGATATGAAATGAAGTAAGGTTCTTGGGCCCTAATTAGTTAACAATGTTTTTTGATTTTAGGATCCCAGACTCTGATCTTCCGATAGAAGGGTCTTTGCGGTCCAGAGATGCTAGCATTGGTGGATTAGTCTTACAGCTGAAGCACACATCTTGCACTTGCAGACATAGTTATGAAGGAGCCTATGTGCCTTTGCAGAGGTGTTTTCAAGTGAGGTTTTGTGCTACTTCTTGATATTCATTTTACTTTATTTATGAATAGGATGGAAATGCTCTCAGAAACAGAAAGTGTCCAGTTTGCTCCTTCACTGTAATGCTTTGATGGGTTTTCCCTGAGGACAGAGCAGGGTGGCAGGAAGCCAGACAGCTTAAAGAGTGTTTGTGTACCTGACTGTTTCCACTCACTATTTATAATCTGTACCTTTAAACGTCTTCATCTGTCTGAAAAAGAATGTTAACAATGTTGACACAGTTCCGTATCAGCAGCAGAGATGCTTCCTCGTGGTCGGATGCTGGCAGACTGCAGTCCAGGTTGAGGAGATAGCCCCAGTAGCCCCTTGTGCTTTGGTCACCCTGTCCCTCCATCTATCAGGCCTCCCTGCGGGGACGCTCCCTCAGCGCTGCAGGCGGAGCGGGCGCCCAGATTAGAACTTCCTCAGGGAGAACCTTGTCTGTTTAGTGACAGACTCGCTCCCTACGAGATAAGTTTTCTAATTAACCCGCGTGGCAGCAATGCACCTGAGATGCAGGGGAGAATAAACTGGCTTCCTGCCGCTGCTTTTCACCTGCCACATACAACATGTTCCCCGCCCTGCTCCTCACAACTCGGCTGGGAAGGAACTTTTACAGCCCTGCTTTGGCTCGCAATTTATTTAGACAGGCTAAACTCTTAGACGAAAAAGCCGGTGTTCAATAAGAGCCACTTGTCGGTCACCCTAACTGACCACAGCAGCATCAGCCTACTTTTCTCTCTGAGGTGTAGTGGCTGTGGTAAAACTGTGGATGAATTTGCTGAGAGACAAAATATTGAACTGGGCTGCACCGGCGATGACTGACAGTTTGCTCTTATAGCAACATCATGGACTCTTCTAAACCGACTGAATGAACAAACCACTTGCTGAGCTGTCATTGATCCGTGCTTTCATTTTCAGAGTGGAAAAAAGATGGCAGCTTTCCCTGAAATGTTTTTCCCAAACGATCTCATTTGTCATTTTGAGAACAGGATCATGCTTCATTATATCTTTGACACCAAGTTTCAGAGGGTTTAAGTGAGTTTAGCTAACCAAAATAACAAAATAAATTTTTCTCACTGATCTCCAGCATTAGAAGATGACGTCAAAAAAACTCAACTGGAAAATGTACAGAAACAGGATTTTAATGGTAGTACTAATCTTACAGATCCTGCTAATCGATCCAGTACTGTAGCTGTTATTTTTTAAGAGAGAAAAATGAAACAAATTAAGAACAGAATTAACATTGCTTAATTTTCTGAAATGTAAAATAAATGTAACAATTATTTACAGCAAAGGAAACAGTAATGTTTGTGTGTAACAAATCACTGTCGTAGACTCTAATGTTTTGATGATGGAAATGTAAAACAAATGAAATGAAAAACATTTACTGCAAAAGAAAATACAGCAGTATAGAGCAACACTTTAACTTCAACAAAAAAGACAAATATTCTTTAAATGGGTGATTGACTTCATGAACCACCCATAGCTAAACAATCAGCAACGAGAGATGAACTACGAGCTCGGCAGTGGAAAACTGTGCATTACTCTGTCCGTATATGATGCACTTTTGATAAATGTTTTGACAGATTGATTTATTGATATGATATTAATAGGGGTGAGCGATGTCTACAAAATTTCTGCATTGAAACATCGGGATGGATGATGGTATTGGGGGGTGTGCGCGCAGGGGGAGGGGTTGCGGTCGTCTTATGTGCATGTGTTCACTCGCACAGACTTTACTCGGTTAAAAACTTGGTAGTCTATGACGTTACGAAGTCGCAGAGACAGAGAGAGGCAGGGCAAGCCGGTGTGTTTAACTGAGGTGTAGGCTTCTTTTGTGTCTGAGTGTGTGGAGAATTCCGTGGAAAGTGTGAAGCATATTTAAAATTTTGAAAAATAATGTTCATGGTGAGTACTTGGTTGGGTTTAGTCACTAAAAGTACTTTGTTGGGTTTTGTCACCAAAAGTACTTGGTTGGGTTTTGTCACCAAAAGTACTTGGTTGGGTTTAGTCACTAAAAGTACTTGGTTGGGTTTTGTCACCAAAAGTACTTGGTTGGGTTTAGTCACTAAAAGTACTTGGTTGGGTTTTGTCACCAAAAGTACTTGGTTGGGTTTTGTCACCAAAAGTACTTGGTTGGGTTTAGGTACTAAAAGTACTTGGTTGGGTTTTGTCACCAAAAGTACTTGGTTGGGTTTAGGTACTAAAAGTACTTGGTTGGGTTTAGGTACTAAAAGTACTTGGTTGGGTTTAGTCACCAAAAGTACTTGGTTGGGTTTAGTCACCAAAAGTACTTGGTTGGGTTTAGTCACCAAAAGTACTTGGTTGGGTTTAGGTACTAAAAGTACTTGGTTGGGTTTAGTCACTAAAAGTACTTGGTTGGGTTTAGTCACTAAAAGTACTTGTTTGGGTTTAGGTACTAAAAGTACTTGGTTGGGTTTTGTCACCAAAAGTACTTGGTTGGGTTTAGTCACCAAAAGTACTTGGTTGGGTTTAGGTACTAAAAGTACTTGGTTTGGTTTAGGTACTAAAAGTACTTGGTTGGGTTTAGTCATCAAAAGTACGTGGTTGGGTTTAGGTACTAAAAGTACGTGGTTGGGTTTAGTCATCAAAAGTACGTGGTTGGGTTTAGGTACTAAAAGTACGTGGTTGGGTTTAGTCATCAAAAGTACGTGGTTGGGTTTAGGTACTAAAAGTACTTGGTTGGGTTTAGGTACTAAAAGTACTTGGTTGGGTTTAGGTACTAAAAGTACTTGGTTGGGTTTAGTCATCAAAAGTACGTGGTTGGGTTTAGGTACTAAAAGTACGTGGTTGGGTTTAGTCATCAAAAGTACGTGGTTGGGTTTAGGTACTAAAAGTACGTGGTTGGGTTTAGTCATCAAAAGTACGTGGTTGGGTTTAGGTACTAAAAGTACTTGGTTGGGTTTAGGTACTAAAAGTACGTGGTTGGGTTTAGTCATCAAAAGTACGTGGTTGGGTTTAGGTACTAAAAGTACGTGGTTGGGTTTAGGTACTAAAAGTACGTGGTTGGGTTTAGGTACTAAAAGTACTTGGTTGGGTTTAGGTACTAAAAGTACGTGGTTGGGTTTAGTCATCAAAAGTACGTGGTTGGGTTTAGTCATCAAAAGTACGTGGTTGGGTTTAGGTACTAAAAGTACGTGGTTGGGTTTAGTCATCAAAAGTACGTGGTTGGGTTTAGTCATCAAAAGTACGTGGTTGGGTTTAGGTACTAAAAGTACTTGGTTGGGTTTAGGTACTAAAAGTACTTGGTTGGGTTTAGTCATCAAAAGTACGTGGTTGGGTTTAGGTACTAAAAGTACGTGGTTGGGTTTAGGTACTAAAAGTACTTGGTTGGGTTTAGGTACTAAAGGTACGTGGTTGGGTTTAGTCATCAAAAGTACGTGGTTGGGTTTAGGTACTAAAAGTACGTGGTTGGGTTTAGTCATCAAAAGTACGTGGTTGGGTTTAGTCATCAAAAGTACGTGGTTGGGTTTAGGTACTAAAAGTACTTGGTTGGGTTTAGGTACTAAAAGTACGTGGTTGGGTTTAGTCATCAAAAGTACGTGGTTGGGTTTAGGTACTAAAAGTACGTGGTTGGGTTTAGGTAATAAAAGTACGTGGTTGGGTTTAGGTACTAAAAGTACTTGGTTGGGTTTAGGTACTAAAAGTACGTGGTTGGGTTTAGTCATCAAAAGTACGTGGTTGGGTTTAGGTACTAAAAGTACTTGGTTGGGTTTAGGTACTAAAAGTACGTGGTTGGGTTTAGTCATCAAAAGTACGTGGTTGGGTTTAGGTACTAAAAGTACGTGGTTGGGTTTAGTCATCAAAAGTACGTGGTTGGGTTTAGTCATCAAAAGTACGTGGTTGGGTTTAGGTACTAAAAGTACTTGGTTGGGTTTAGGTACTAAAAGTACGTGGTTGGGTTTAGTCATCAAAAGTACGTGGTTGGGTTTAGGTACTAAAAGTACGTGGTTGGGTTTAGTCATCAAAAGTACGTGGTTGGGTTTAGGCACTAAAAGTACGTGGTTGGGTTTAGTCATCAAAAGTACGTGGTTGGGTTTAGGTACTAAAAGTACTTGGTTGGGTTTAGGTACTAAAAGTACGTGGTTGGGTTTAGGTACTAAAAGTACTTGGTTGGGTTTAGGTACTAAAAGTACGTGGTTGGGTTTAGTCATCAAAAGTACGTGGTTGGGTTTAGGTACTAAAAGTACGTGGTTGGGTTTAGTCATCAAAAGTACGTGGTTGGGTTTAGGTACTAAAAGTACTTGGTTGGGTTTAGGTACTAAAAGTACGTGGTTGGGTTTAGGTAATAAAAGTACGTGGTTGGGTTTAGGTACTAAAAGTACTTGGTTGGGTTTAGGTACTAAAAGTACGTGGTTGGGTTTAGTCATCAAAAGTACGTGGTTGGGTTTAGGTACTAAAAGTACGTGGTTGGGTTTAGTCATCAAAAGTACGTGGTTGGGTTTAGGTACTAAAAGTACTTGGTTGGGTTTAGGTACTAAAAGTACGTGGTTGGGTTTAGTCATCAAAAGTACGTGGTTGGGTTTAGGTACTAAAAGTACGTGGTTGGGTTTAGGTACTAAAAGTACGTGGTTGGGTTTAGGTACTAAAAGTACTTGGTTGGGTTTAGGTACTAAAAGTACGTGGTTGGGTTTAGTCATCAAAAGTACGTGGTTGGGTTTAGGTACTAAAAGTACGTGGTTGGGTTTAGTCATCAAAAGTACGTGGTTGGGTTTAGTCATCAAAAGTACGTGGTTGGGTTTAGGCACTAAAAGTACGTGGTTGGGTTTAGTCATCAAAAGTACGTGGTTGGGTTTAGGTACTAAAAGTACTTGGTTGGGTTTAGGTACTAAAAGTACGTGGTTGGGTTTAGGTACTAAAAGTACTTGGTTGGGTTTAGGTACTAAAAGTACGTGGTTGGGTTTAGGTACTAAAAGTACGTGGTTGGGTTTAGGTACTAAAAGTACTTGGTTGGGTTTAGGTACTAAAAGTACGTGGTTGGGTTTAGTCATCAAAAGTACGTGGTTGGGTTTAGGTACTAAAAGTACGTGGTTGGGTTTAGTCATCAAAAGTACGTGGTTGGGTTTAGTCATCAAAAGTACGTGGTTGGGTTTAGGTACTAAAAGTACTTGGTTGGGTTTAGGTACTAAAAGTACGTGGTTGGGTTTAGTCATCAAAAGTACGTGGTTGGGTTTAGGTACTAAAAGTACGTGGTTGGGTTTAGGTACTAAAAGTACGTGGTTGGGTTTAGGTACTAAAAGTACTTGGTTGGGTTTAGGTACTAAAAGTACGTGGTTGGGTTTAGTCATCAAAAGTACGTGGTTGGGTTTAGGTACTAAAAGTACGTGGTTGGGTTTAGTCATCAAAAGTACGTGGTTGGGTTTAGTCATCAAAAGTACGTGGTTGGGTTTAGGTACTAAAAGTACGTGGTTGGGTTTAGTCATCAAAAGTACGTGGTTGGGTTTAGGTACTAAAAGTACTTGGTTGGGTTTAGGTACTAAAAGTACGTGGTTGGGTTTAGGTACTAAAAGTACTTGGTTGGGTTTAGGTACTAAAAGTACTTGGTTGGGTTTAGGTACTAAAAGTACGTGGTTGGGTTTAGGTACTAAAAGTACTTGGTTGGGTTTAGGTACTAAAAGTACTTGGTTGGGTTTAGGTACTAAAAGTACGTGGTTGGGTTTAGGTAATAAAAGTACGTGGTTGGGTTTAGGTACTAAAAGTACTTGGTTGGGTTTAGGTACTAAAAGTACGTGGTTGGGTTTAGTCATCAAAAGTACGTGGTTGGGTTTAGGTACTAAAAGTACGTGGTTGGGTTTAGTCATCAAAAGTACGTGGTTGGGTTTAGTCATCAAAAGTACGTGGTTGGGTTTAGGTACTAAAAGTACTTGGTTGGGTTTAGGTACTAAAAGTACGTGGTTGGGTTTAGTCATCAAAAGTACGTGGTTGGGTTTAGGTACTAAAAGTACGTGGTTGGGTTTAGGTACTAAAAGTACGTGGTTGGGTTTAGGTACTAAAAGTACTTGGTTGGGTTTAGGTACTAAAAGTACGTGGTTGGGTTTAGTCATCAAAAGTACTTGGTTGGGTTTAGGTACTAAAAGTACGTGGTTGGGTTTAGTCATCAAAAGTACGTGGTTGGGTTTAGTCATCAAAAGTACGTGGTTGGGTTTAGGTACTAAAAGTACGTGGTTGGGTTTAGTCATCAAAAGTACGTGGTTGGGTTTAGGTACTAAAAGTACTTGGTTGGGTTTAGGTACTAAAAGTACGTGGTTGGGTTTAGGTACTAAAAGTACTTGGTTGGGTTTAGGTACTAAAAGTACTTGGTTGGGTTTAGGTACTAAAAGTACGTGGTTGGGTTTAGGTACTAAAAGTACGTGGTTGGGTTTAGGTACTAAAAGTACTTGGTTGGGTTTAGTCATCAAAAGTACGTGGTTGGGTTTAGGTACTAAAAGTACGTGGTTGGGTTTAGGTACTAAACGTACGTGGTTGGGTTTAGGTACTAAAAGTACTTGGTTGGGTTTAGGTACTAAAAGTACGTGGTTGGGTTTAGGTACTAAAAGTACTTGGTTGGGTTTAGGTACTAAAAGTACGTGGTTAGGTTTAGGTACTAAAAGTACTTGGTTGGGTTTAGGTACTAAAAGTACGTGGTTGGGTTTAGGTACTAAAAGTACGTGGTTAGGTTTAGGTACTAAAAGTACGTGGTTGGGTTTAGGTACTAAAAGTACGTGGTTGGGTTTAGGTACTAAAAGTACGTGGTTGGGTTTAGTCATCAAAAGTACGTGGTTGGGTTTAGTCACCAAAAGTACGTGGTTGGGTTTAGTCACCAAAAGTACGTGGTTGGGTTTAGTCACCAAAAGTACGTGGTTGGGTTTAGTCATCAAAAGTACGTGGTTGGGTTTAGTCATCAAAAGTACGTGGTTGGGTTTAGTCACCAAAAGTACGTGGTTGGGTTTAGTCACCAAAAGTACGTGGTTGGGTTTAGTCACCAAAAGTACTTGGTTATGTTTAGGAAAACATCGTCGTTTGGGTTTAGTCACAAAATCTGATAGGTCACAGATTTTAGTGTTACAACGGCTTGCAGAGAGCACACAAACTCGACAAGAACAGAATTTTATTTTGGAATGCCATCGAGTTACTGACAGTAATTAGTGACAGCTGACATAATGTGCCACAGGCGACGTTTGTCATTTGAACCGGTGCAAGTGACTGTCAGACTGTGAGTGACTAAAAAGGAGAAGCTGCTAGCTGAGTGTTTTGTACACATCTCTTAATTGATGGGGCTTAGCGAATCTGTATGTTTTGCAAACCCGGGTGTCAGAACAGAGCCACTGGCACAATGCGACCAAATAATGTTTGACATTCACACGCTAATCTTTACTTACAAATGGAGTGAAATGCACACATTGAAGGGTAACTTTGGTAGTTTTAAATCTGGGCCCTATTTTCACATATTTCTGTGTTGAAATGACTAGTGGGTACAAAAAGGAATCTGTGCAGTAAAGTGAGTCAGATTTGGAGAGAGGAGTTTGTTGTGTAGGTAGAGGAACTGCTAGCAAGACTTTATTTCCTAACTTCACTCCAACGCAACAATCTCCTCTCTCCAATTGTGACTCACGTTTTCACCGGCGTCTTCCTACAGCAACTCGCCTCTCGCGAGATTTCAGAGCTTCAGTTTGATTAGAACTACTTCCTACAAAAGAAACGGGTCCACATCATGTTCTGTAGGTTACACGGAGAAACCGTGTCACTGGGAAGAAATGTTGCTGTTACATGAAAGCGTTTGTGCAACTTTTCTTTGGCAGAAACTAAACACCCCAGCTGTTCTGAAAGCCCCGAAAGAGAGGAAGCCCAGCAAGAAGGAGGGAGGAACCCCAGGGAAGTCATCCAGCCTGCCAGCAATCCTCTACAGGTGAACACACAGTGCCCAGAGGGACGCAGGGGAAAGACTATGAAGGATGAAGGTTGGCGGTTAACTGATCAAGTAAAGATAATAAAGCCAGGGTGGCGTTGTTTCAAATATCATCGAATGCCAGGGGCAGAAACGGTGTCCCACACTGCGTACGTCCATCATTGTTTTTAGACTGTTTGGGGTTGAGTATGTAACTTAACATTTAATATAATCTGTGTTTATATGGTTTGGCAAAACTGTCACACACTTTCTCAGGCACCAAATGAAAGGGGCGGGTTGAACAGTGGATAAGACGCATGCCTTTGGTGTGAGAGACCCGGGTTCAATTCCCGACTGAGACACATCCTACAATGTGTCCCTGAGCAAGGCCAGAGGAGTGCGACCTCTCACATAATGATGTAATGACCTAAGTCGCTTTGGATAAAAGTATCAGCTAAATGAATAAATGTTATGTAACCAACATAACACACACGCACATGGGTATCGTGCCTTCACCTACCTCCAAACAGCTTGACGCCAAACAGTGGCTCACTCCAAAAATCTGAGGTAGAGCATTCAAAATGATTCTGATAAAATCCTTTTTCCACAATTATGATCAGTAAATCTTTTTTCAGTCCCTTTTCCTCAACAAAACAAATATCTTAATAGAAAATTTAAGTGTAAATTCGTTCATAATTCAAATGAATTTAATCAAACATTTATTTTTATATTTTGAACATTTCTTATATTGTTATTGAGGAAAATTATATTGTGATAATTATCATTATTGTTTCATTGACCAGCCCTATGTTAATGCATATTTTATTAAAAAATAAAGGTGCCCTGTTCAACATGGATTCAAATACAACATGAAAGTTAATGTGTTAATTTACACAGGTAACAAAGTTAAGTGGTCCCAGTGATAGTTGTTCTTACTGAAGCATGTCACATGACATCGTTAAGTTCTGAGACTGAGAATATCAAATACTAATAAATCTTATAAATATAAACTATAAATAAACTATTTGATTCTGCTGGCAAAACCGTCAGCGTTTGTTGAGAGCTGGAGGCGGGACCAGATCTGACAGAGGTGGCCAGCCTCGTGATTCTTTCTGCAGGAAAACCCTTGTTTTTAGGCTAAATGAAGCCTCATCGTGACTAAAAACACCAATAGCATGCCTTTTCTCACACATACTTGTACATGTATGTACTTATACATGTGTTCCTGCAGCTGTGGCATCTGTAAGAAGAACCAGGACCAACATCTGCTGGTGCTGTGTGACACCTGCAAGCTCTACTACCACCTAGGCTGCCTGGAGCCTCCACTAACACGCATGCCCAAGAAGACCAAGAACAGCTACTGGTGAGAGACATGGGGACACAAGGGGACTGGTCAAGGACACATGAAGAAATGTAAAATAAATGTCAGTTGCTGAGAAGTATATACATACCCCATACAGGCCACAGAATCACTGTAAGCTTGAGGAAACCCAGACTGCTGTAGAGCCATTAGTGAAAATTACACAGGTCAAGTTTTGTCAGAACGATCCCCCGCATATCAAATTTAGTGCTCGGTCAGTCTGCAGAGGCGCCACTGTTACTCTTACTTTGGCCATAGAATACAACAACACAGAAGTCTATGCTCCCTTCATAAACCATGAGGACTTTCTTAAGTGGTCTCTGTGTGTGACGTAGACTGTGACTGTGTTTAATTTAATGTTTGATTTGAGATTTGAAAGTGACACATTAAAGATAGTTGGAGCCAGAGTGTCCAGATATATATATATATGCCATTTCCTGCATTTCTAGAGTCATTATAACAAAGTGCCTTACATAGTATGTACTTAATCATGCTCTAATAGGCCTAACATAAGAGTTAGAATTAGTGTATGTATTACAAATGGACCAACTGTTCTGACATCAAATACAATTTCACAGATACTATACTTAGATGTAGGGCAAAACCTTCTCACAGTTTGGGCACAACTTCACTTATGGACTGTCGTCTTCTTTTTGCTCACACACCAAACCAAATCGCTAATATATTGCTCCAGAGGAGTATTTGCTACAAGAAGTGCTGTAAAACGTAAGACAAGCATTACAGATTGTTATGTTGGTGTTCTTGGCTAAAATAGCTAGCAGCTAGCATTGTCATCATTTCCTATGACACTAAAGGCCAAACACTGTCTTCACATTTCTAAAGACACACATGCAGGAAGCGTTGTGTCACTAATCCTTTGCCTTACACAGCAAATGCACAGTACAGGTCAGAAATCAACTGGGATCCCTCTGTGACAATGTGCTAATAAGTATCTCTGAGAACTTCGTTAGTACTGTAGCACTGAACATGCTTAGTTATTTATTTAAAAGTGGTATGCTCCCAATTTTGGGTGATATCTGCTGCAATGGACTGGCGACCTGTCCAGGGTGTACCCTGCCTTTCACCCGATGTCAGCTGGGATTGGCTCCCCCCCCCGCGACCCAGTACGCAGGATAAGCAGTTGACGATGGATCGTAGTTATTTCAACATCCATTTGTGAGAGAGCAGGTCTTTGCCTGTCAGTTTGAAATGGTGGACGGGTCTAAATTCTACAATATCCATAAGCAAGGGTCTAACATTGGATTGTAAAGGGGGGGGGGGGGCACAATAAAGCGGGCTGTCTGGGGGTCCTCCCCCAGATAAAAAAAGGAATTTAATACAATTTTCTGCATTTTGACATGCTTTTATCATATTTTCAGCCACTAAAAAGCAACCCATCTTGTGATTAAGATGAATATCATGGTTAGTTTAATCATCCTGCCAGAAAACTGGTAAATATAAATCAGAAAAAGCCGTCTTACTCTCTGCATGTTAACCCAGAACCCTACTTACTACTCAGTTAGGGACTATAAGCTTTACTTTGAAGAAAAAGACTGGTAGATCTATGGAACATTATGTATGGAACTGTCATCAGATAATGTTCCATTTGCAACTTAGAGAAGTTGGGGGGGAGGATCAGAGCAGTAGTGAATTCAGAACACTTCGTTAGGGCAGCTGAGAACAAAACACAGTACCATAGTTACTGAATTCATTTAAAATTGCAGCTTGTGTTTTAAATTCTTATGCACCTCAACCCTTAGCTCCTGCCGTGGGTGGGTTGCCCGTTAATCGGCAGGTCGGCGGTCCAATCCCCGGCTCCCCCTGGCTGCATGTCGAAGTGCCCTTGGGCAAGATACTGAACCCCAAATTGCCCCTGGTGGCTGTTCCACAAGTGTATGAATGTGAGTGAATGGTGAATGCAGATGTAGTGTAAAAGCGCTTTGAGTGGCCAAAAAGACTAGAAAGGTGCTACACAAATACGGAGCATTTACATTTACATTGCCTGGCATTAGCGGCGCCTGTAACAGAATTTTAGGCTCTGTGATTGTATGTTTCTTCCTGAAATGTTTTAGTTGACTTCTATAATAAAAAGTGTTTATGTCCGTAGGTTAATACCTTTGACTCTTTATCAGAGAACCAGATTGGACACAGTTGTTATTTTTTTGTACTATTGATTTAACTGGGAGAGTTTCATGCTGATCCAAGACAGTCCAACTGTTCACAACTTTGTCTGTGGGTAAAATGAATGAGACCATTACGTTTGGAACCAGAGGCAACCAAAATAGCGAACAAACTCCACCTATCAAATGGTCCAGTTTGGGTTACAATGGGATATGGATAAGGTTTAGGATATTTAGGGCCATCTTGGTATGAAATGTATGATACACTGGTTATCCATTATTCCATAAATAGAGAAATGATACTTCAAGAAAAAGCAAAACCTTTGACAATCCTAGTTGATAGTAACATTATTAAACACCTTTATTGTGTGTGTATGAACAGGGATTGCATATCATATTACACTCAATGTCTGCTAGGAGCAGTAAGAAATTAGAATCCAGAGTTTGTTTATTCATATTAGTCCTGACATTTTAGGCCAGTCGGTGGCAGCAGGATTATCAGATGATTGATGCTGAGATGGTGGAAATGTCACAATTGCTTCTCTACTGCAGTTCTTATCTATAGAGATTTAGTGCATCTGTTTTTCAACCTATGATAATTCTAAAATATTCTGTTGCTTAGTGAACTACTTCTTCCACTGTTTGAAGCAGAGACGCCTTTTCTCTTCTCTAGTTAAGAAATGAAGAGCTGCAGCTGGTGTTAAAAAACAGGACATGTAACACAATTTGTCTGTGACTGGAGTAGTTCATTTAAACTTCATTTTAAGCATTCTGGTGAAAAATTGTGCACCAATTTATGGTGGAAATTTCTTTATCTATATAAAGGGAAACACAAGATTCAGGTCGCAGATGACATTAATAAAGGCTATAGAATACGTGGCTTTCAGGCATCCTGTAGCTGTTGCTTTGTTTGTTCTGTAGAACAGCTTTTCTAATTTATAAAATCCCTGCTGAGTCAGCACACATGCAAGCATAATTTAGCCTTCCCTCCTCCTTTGTATCCTTTGTTTGGTTAAGTAACCTCTTTAAATGTGCATGTGGCGCCTTTTCAACTCAGTCATAAATAAATTCATTTAAATCAGTTAGAAACTCCTGGACTTCAACAGCTCCTGTGTTTCAGCAGGTTTTCTGCTCATGTTCAAAACTTTCTGCACATTCAGAATCTCTCCCACATCTCTGTGTTCTGACATGTGCAGAAAAAACTTATAATGTTACGAGACTAGTGTCATCATTAAATGAGAAGTCAATATTTTTTAAGTCTACCTGCCCTGTACTCTGCTGCTGTACATTACGTTTTTGCTCCGTTGGTAGTTTGACGACACCGTTTGGAACTGCATGTTGCAGGTGAAACCAAACTAACCTAAAAACAGTTGTGATCTTTCAAACCATCCCTCCTCTCTGTCAAAAATGTGCACTTTTTGAGTGTCCTTTATCCTTCAGATGTAGGTAAACTGCTGAGGAGTTGGCCCTGCTGTGTTGAGCCATGTGTTTGTGTAGTGGTTGTTTAGTTTCCCCAGTAAGGAAGTCTGTGCATTCATTGCTTTTCTTCTGTTTGGGTGTGCGGTCTTTAGGGTGGACCAGTTTCTGTCTTGGCGTGTTCTCAGATGTGGTGTTTGTTGAAAATCCCCCTGAGCTTCTCTGATACTCCAGACACGTACGGAATCTCAGTGTTGTTGTGTTCGCTTCTCTTTTCCTCATCCTCCTTAGTGTTGGTGTTCTCCCTGGATCTTGTAGCTGTTTTCACAAAGGTCTATTTAGGGTATCCAGGCTGCAAGTGCCCCCTTTAGGTGGTTCTCTTCCGCTTCTGGGGCTTGGCACTGGCTGGTAAGTTCTCAGCACAGTCATGCAGGGTTCTGATGACCCCTAGCTTATGCCCCAGTGGGAGGTGGGAATCAAAAACTAGGTATTGTTCCGTTTTCTGTATACTCCAATTTGCACAGTGTACAGCACAGTCCAAGAACACCAAACTGTTGTTGTGGACATCTTCCCGTGTGAACTTGATGTTACTGTCTGTGAAGGCTTGCACTTCCTGGCTTTTAATTTTGACCCATGTGTCGTCCACATACCTGTACCAGTGGCTCGGTGCTGTTCCTCTGAAGGAGTTCTGGGCTTTGCTCTCCACTTCTTCCATGTAGATGTTGGCCACAATAGGGGGTACTGGTGAGCCCATGGCACAGCCATGCTTTTGTCTGTAGAATCCTCCGGTGTAGTTATTTGAAATATGTGGGGTTTAGGCAGAGGTCCAGTAGTTTACAGATCTGGGGTCTCATTTCTAAACGGGGCGTACGTACAAAACAGGGCTTGAAACGTGCGTACTCCACTTCCCAAGCAAAGGTTGTGATCTATAAAAAACAAACTTGACAGGAGAATGTGCGTCCTGTAAAGAAACTCTGAACCTTGCGTACGCACATAAAGAGGAGAAATGAGAAACGGCGACTCACATGGCAGAAGGATGAAACGGTTTGAAATGAAGAGGCCTACTATTGTGTAAAATAAATTGAAATATTACCTCTGAGTATTACAGGCTTAAAGCCTTTCTAAATAAACAAACACCCGTTTGATTAATTTTCCCTGAACTGTGACATAATAAAAAACATAATTTAAGATGTAGCGCACAAAAAGATCCAGATTTAGGATAATAAACACAAACGGAGATATCTGTTTCTGCAAAGAACTTACTTACAAGTAAGGTTTTATAAGGCTGACTATTTTTTGGCGTACGCCATTTTTGGCTTTTGGGTGCACGTTTCTACACACAGTTTTATAAAAGAGAACCCTGGTCTTGTCTGAGGATTGTTCTGTTGTTCAGGGTGTTATCTTTTAGCAGTTTTGTCCTCATGGTTTGTACAGCCTCCATGATGAGGATACATGTAAACAAAGAAGTCACATTATAGGACACCATGGTTTCATCTGGGTCCAGTTTCAGTCCTTGAACTTTGTCTAAAAAGTCAATGGAGTTTTGGATGTGGTGAGGCGTGTTGCCAACCAAGGGGGCTAGAAACCATTATATTTTCAGGAACACTTTTTGATATGATGCAGTCACAAACAATTAGTACAGCAACAAACTTCAAATGCTCTGTCAACAAGGGTCCACAGCCATGCCAGCACCTATGTTAGGCTGTACTAAATGCTAACACGCACGTAATGACAATGCTAACATGCTGATGTTTAGAAGGTTTAATGTTTCCATGTTTGCCATCTTAGTTTAGCATGTTGGCATGCTAACACAAAGTACAACTGAGGTCGATGGGAATGTCATTTGACTTGGATGAAGGTCATCCAATAGTGGTTGAGATTTTTCACTCAGAACCACACATCTAAACCTCATGATGGCGCTAGAGGAAAAGTCAGAGGATCACCAAAGTCATTAGGTTCCATCCTCTGGGGACCAGGAATGTCTGCACTAAATGTCTCAGCAATCCAATCAATATTTGTCATGGTTTTTCAGTCTGGACCAATGTGTTGAACCAATACTGCTAGCTCGATAAATAATAATGATGACTATCTCTCTGTTGTCGTTCAATTGTAATGCATTAGATAGAAGTACTTTCACAATGTGTACCTACTGTAGATTATACATCTGTTTAGGATGCATAATCATTGATGAGTACTGAGTCAGAGTGAGATGAGCAGATGTTAAATAAAGACATTAATGAGCTTTAAGAATAGTTGTTTGGACTTGGTTGCTTTCTTTTTGAAAGTGAGATGAAAAGATTAATATAAATCTCATGCTTGTCTGTTAAGTACGTAGCTACAGTCACAATGTGGCTAGTTTAGCTTAGCATGAAGACTGGAAACAGATAGCGTGGCGCTGTCCAAAGGGGGAAAAGAAGAAGGTTTTTGCTGCTCATCACCAATAGATTACTTTAGACCCTTATAAGAACAAACAGTATCATAGAACAGTGTTAAGTGCCGGCTGACATTTAGCAACATAAGAATTAGCGAAAATCTTTTGACCCTGAGTAAATGTGACAACATGTTTTGTTGTTGTTTTTATTTTTGTTTACAGTTAAGACTAAAGATTTGGGTTAGGGTAAAAGTTTATTGAGAGGAGCTTTATTCCTTCTCCTCAGGCAATGCTCCGAGTGTGACCAAGCCAGCAGCGATGAAGCCGATATCGCCATGGAGACGCTACCTGACGGAACCAAGAGGTCCAGGAGACAGATCAAGGGACCAATCAAATTCATCCCACAGGAGATGTCGCCAGAGCCCAAGAAACATCAAGTGAGAGGCACGGTGTGTATGGACACACTGGAAATATCTAAAAATATGATCAGTAGAAATAATATTTCATTCTCAAAGCAAAAACTGCTCTTACAGCTAAAAATAATGAAAAGTTTGGATTCTCAACTCGTCCTTCACTAGAGTGTAACTGATGTCAGCGTTGGCTAATTGATTGATTTGTACTGATTACAAATAATGAACTTGAGATCTCATTAGTCTCATGCTCTCCTGAAGGCTGTCTGAAAGTTGCACAAGGTGATAGTGTGTTCCCATGAGCACCAAAATAAAAACAAATGTAGCTCAAAGGGCTTTTGCTACAGAAGGCTGTGTGACTGAATATAAAGAAGAAGAAAAACACAACAGCAACAGCAAAACAGATGTGGCTTCTGCTCTTGGTGGAAAAAAATATTTCAACTTGAACAAAAGAATTGTTGACCTTTGTTGTATTACTTCATTTGATTAGAGGCGAGAGCCTGGTGGGAAATAATTGAAACAAATAGGTCTTAAAATAGTCGTTCTGTGTTTTCACACACTCCAGAAACCCTCACAAATTATTGACAATAAAGACTTTAAATTTTGTTTGCATTGTCCCTGTAGGACAATCAAAGACAGTAAAAAAAAAATAAACAAAAAACTACAAAAATTGGCCCCAAAATATGAGGAGGGAGAAATCGCTTGAACTCAAAAGGCAAGAGTCTCAGCCTGCAGCTCAGTCAGATGACGAAGCATCAGGCCTCCACACAATTAAAGCTCTGTCTGCATCTACTGTGCAAAGCCCTAGCTTACAGTGGTTTTATGAACAAATAATCAAATCAAAGTTGAAGGAGGTTTTTAAAGTCTGTCTTAAAACAATGGCCAGTGCTCAAGTGTATATTGAAACAGGTTTTTCTTGATGTAATCATTCCCCCTGTTCAGACTGGGGGACAAAATCCACAGTCCCTGATCGGATCTCCAGGAATGTCTTCAAGATATTAATGCATTTATGAAAGCCATTTGGGGCAGAACAGTGTCACTTTTGTTTCCCCATACATCTTGTGTCTGTTCCCCTGCAACTTTTTTCTTTGACCATAAAAGAGCGACAGTATGTTGACTGTGTCGGCTTGTAGTGTAACATTTTGTGTCAGCTGTGAGAGGGAACAGAACCATCTCTCCATCCCTCACTGGATCCTACTTATCTGTACCAACCATGCTCCGATCCAGCGATACAGAGCAGCCTCCCCACTCCCTCAAGAAACACTCCAGATTGATATCTGACAGCCTGGTGGTGGGGGTGCGGATGGGGGTGTCTTTCACTCCCCTTTGTTTTTCCACTGTCAATATGTGACCGAGTGCCACTCACCTGGGAGTTGAGAGAACTTTCCTCTTGTGACCGTGAATGCTCACAGCAGAGTCAATTCCAGCGAAGCTGCTCCTGACTACAGTCTCTGTTACAAATAGAGGAATGAACAAAGAAAAGGAGTGTCTCAGCCACTTCTCCACTCTCTGCACTCTATCTGTCTTAGAGGGGAAACAGCGGAGTGTTGGAGCACAGTGGCAGTTGGGTTAATGTGTTTTTCTGTTCAGGTTTGGAAACCCTGGGCGCAGACATGTGTCGAGGACCCTGCTGGAGCTCTCAGGGATTAAGCAGCTTTCTGATTTTTCTCGCAGCCGCAGCCACTCGGGCGAGGCACTTCAGTGCAGCATTTATCTTCAAATGCAAGGCGCGCAATGGCAGACGCTAAAAGGGCCCTGCTTTGCATTTTTAATGCTTTTACCAGGGCACCCAAGCCCTGGCACTTCTCTAAAGCCATGTTTTAATTTATCAGGACTGGCTAATCAAACTCCTGCTGGCCTGTGTGCGTGTTTGGGAGTTCGTACATGACAGGAAGAAGAGTGTGTATGCACATACACACATTTATGTTTGGCCAAAAGGGCTAACATGGCCGAGTGCCACCTTGATGAAGCCGAGAGCCCTGTGGCTGTTGTTCATGGCCTGTAGTGGGTAGTGCCTACTGGAGGAAAACCTTTTAAAGTCAACCTGTGAGTTGAATTTTATTTAGCATGTACATAATGTCGCAGCTGTAAAATTAATGCGCCATAGCGCACTCTGTCTGATTTTACACAGCCCTGCTAAAGATAGACCATCTCAAATACTCTTCTATCCAGACTAAGCTTCATTATTTCCCCTTCCCTTTTGCTCCCCATGAGGAAAGTGAAGGTGTTTTTGTGAAATAGTAAGTTAAAAAATGAGTAGATCATACTGGAAATGAAATAAGTTTAAACAGGAAAACAGTTTCTTGGTGATAATGTAATGATGTCTCTTACCGTGGGTGCAGACAGGGTCTTGCCATTGAGGATACATGTGGCAAATCTGAATCCTGTCAGAACTGAGAATATTAGGCAAAATGTCATTGATCAGAGAAAGCATCCAACATTATAGAAACGTTATTATTTATTTTGACGCTTTTGCCATCACTTGTCCAGCATGTGTTTTGCCTCTCGCCCAACACTTGCTGACCTAGACTCTGGCCCACTGTGCAAAAGGACAAGCTAATTTAGGAATGGTTAGTTGCAGCATAGAGGATGATTTGATTTATCATAATTTATTTATTCCATTTACAAATGATCAACCTCTTAGACATTGTAACCAGTTTTTTTTAATTGTTCTTTGAGCCCAAAGGATGAAATTTACATAGCAACTCAGAAGTCATACACTGCTAGATTAGTGCTATTTATGCTTCCTTATATCCGTATCTCTGGTCATGACCTGCATGTCCATAGTTAATAAACATCCACAAATCATCCACAAATCATAAATCTTTAACTTCGGATCTTGCCTCGTAATCTTCACATTTAGTGAGAAATTTATTTATTTCCAGGATAAAAACCCCTTGAGATGTACCATCTCGTTTTCGCGGGGTCCTGGCCAAAGAAACACAATAATATAAAAATACACAATATATACAGCAAACATCAAACACAAGAATACAAAAAAAACAAACCACAAAAAAATAAAAACACATTCACTCATGTACCTTGCACATGCCACAAACTAGACACCAACACTAATAGTAAAAACAGTAGAGTATAACAGTAAGTAACAATAATTAACAGGAGCAGTCTGTTGTAAGGTGAATGATAAGAGTATTCTTAAATGAACCTAGATACTGCAAAGATGTCAAGAAAATTTGTAGATTGTTCCAGTCTCTAGGAGCCTTAACCCTAAATGCTTTTTTTCCTATTTCTAGTGTAGTTTTTGGAACATGAAAAAAAAGCCTGTTATTGCTTCTAAGATAATAAATATGATTAGAGTTATGCAAAATAAAAAACTCTTGTAAATAAACAGGATATTTAAAATTAATACATTTGAAAAGAAACTGGTACCAGTGTAACTGTCTTCTGTTATCAAGAGAAAGCCACTGCAGTTGATTGTACATTACACAATGGTGGGTTTAAAAGTCACAGTTCAGAATAAATCTGCACAAACTATTAAATTTTACATTAACTTTCATAAGATCAGCTTTTGAAGCATTTTGATACACAATGTCTCCATAACCAGCCTCTTTTTTACATTCATGGTGAAACAGTTCTTTGAACATGAATGTAAAAAAGAGGCCGGTATCTCAGTCTTATATCTTGTGCCATACGGGACCCAACAGGGTTTTCACCTGCCCTTTAGAATTCTTTAATTCTGTCAGAAATTATCCCAATTACTTCCACTATAGTTATATGCAAAAAAAGTACGACATAGCAATTTTCAAATTCAGGGTTCGAGAGGCTAACTGAAGGTGGCAATGAAATGCTCCTGCTAATGGGACATGATTTACTGCTGCCTGCCACCACCACTGTGTTAACATTAAAACCTCCCATACGAACATATGTCATTAATCAGTTGGAAATTATGACAATTACGTTAATATATCTAGTTACTACTACTTCTTATGCTCTGTTAATTTTTCTACTCCTGTGTGAAATGATTCATGCTTGTTAAAGATGCACTGATGTACTTAATTAAAAGATTGATTTTGGCTGGGACTTATAAACTGCCTGCAGCTTTAATTTCCTCACCTGAGCAGAGCCTTAGATTAGCTGTGCTGTGTGGCTGAGCGTTTTTAGCTGAACCAGCTACTGAACTGCACTCTGCTCACCCCGGTCTTATAGATCACTTAAACAGACACCGCTTTAATGCAGAAATAACTAAAGAAATTGTCAGGCCTTTTGTTTGGTGATACAGCCACATGAGAAATAGTGGAGGTCTGTAGGAGCCAATTGGCAGCATACTTGCAGTTAGCATTCTTAATGATAAGTGCTCCATCTGGTGAGTGGTAGTGAGCCAAAGGCGACAGATGGAATTGTTTTCACAATCTGTTCAAATATGTTGTCGATTTTTCTTCCCCTTTTAAACTCTCCCCAGCAGCTCCGCCGCTCACTTGCGAGCAACAAGAAAGAGATGTTTGATTTTTATTTCCCTTCTTGCTCTGTGCAATCTCCTTCGAGGAGAAAGCACACTTCAGACCTGTGTAGTAGATGGTAGTGTTGCTAGACATCCATCCAGCATTGTTTAGCTTCCATAGAAACTATAGGACTGGTGTTCTGGCAAGTGACATTTACTGCCACAACTTGACGAGCTGTGGCAGGGAAAACATTAACAGTTTAACAATCCACAACTCAGCAAAATAAAAACAACACACCATATTTTGATTTCAATCAGGGAGAAAAAGCAACAATGAAACTGCAGAAATCTCTCATGTGACATAACCAAAGCTGTTTAAAGTCAGGTAGAAAAGTAGTGATGGGATCCTACATGAACACACCACTGCTAGTAAGGAGCTGATTGGTAAGATGCCTTTAAAGCTACATTCAGGTATTCCCACGTGGATCTGTGAGGTAGCTGTTAATATTTTATGTCCTCCCTTTTTTGTATCCACCTTTCCTTGCTGCTTACAGTCGTCTTCTTCACTGCCATTGTTGGTGCAGTGTACATTTGTTGGTGTAACACTAGACAAAATTCACTGTTCGCCATGAACGTCAGTACAACAGGGAAAACAGTTAAGGAACTGCACATGTGAAGGACCATTAGCCATGTTTCCATCTAATGCCATGCAAAGTTTAAGTGGAAATTTGAAATGTTGCCAAAAAGACAAACAACATTTAAATGCGTTTCCATCAGCTGGTTTGGAGCGAAACAAACCAGGCTACGGCAAGCGTAGTTACATCAGTACTTGATGTTACACATGGCTGTAATAAACGAGACACACGGGTTCCAAACCAATCACAGTCACAGAATACGCTTTAGTACATGAACAGATGAGATACTTAGATTTTAGTGAGTGAATGAAACTGAACCCATGAAGGCAGGAAATCAGGCCCTCGCTCTGACCTCAAGAAGGTGTTGACCCATTCAGAAGGAAGTTGAATGAGCATTTCACGTTAACATTGTGTTTTTGACCACTGCTCAAAAGTTGAATGCTTGTGTCTGCAGAGAACCAGAGGGCAGAAGAGGAAGAGAGTTCCCATCTGTGAAGACAGAGAAGAGAAAGTTGAGGTTTGTCACTTCATTCAGATGCAGACCATCTTGGTTATATTTAGCAATGGAGTCCCTTTTATTAAAAACAAGCTATAAGCCACATGTGAAAAATGAATTTAGGTGGTGAGGTTAAAGTCAGAAATCTGACTCAGAACTCAAATACATTTATCACATGTGGCCCAAATCCTCTTCTGTTTTTATCTGAGAAATTATTGAAGTGGCACGTGAGAGAATTGTACTCATTAGGCTATAAGAAAAAACAAAAAGAAACCTGGTCGCCGGTTGTTACGCCCTGGGTAACCCTTTAGCATGGTATTTCGACCTTTAGAGCTCCACTGTCAAGTTAGCAACAATAAATATACAGCGTCTGGTTAGACTTTCAAAGTAAAACTACTTTTTAAAGTAGTGAAACATCGCTATTTGGTTAGGTTTAATAAAACATTGTGGTTTCACTTAAAAACAATGTTATGTCATTTAACTTATGAAACTTAAGTAACATTACTTATGTAACTTACTTAAAGAAAAACATTCAATATTGACTTTTTGTTTCACACGTGAAACAAACACCAGTCTCCGGGGTGAAAGTCTGGTTTCTGGACCATCATCCACGACTTCCTTACTTGGCTTTTTCTGTTAAATATCCTACACCTACCTTTAGCGTTCAAAACTGACACTACAGGGCTTCCCCCAGCGCGGGGCTCCCCTGCAGTAGAAAGAAATATTCAACATTCTGTGAAATTAATTTATTTGCCTTCTTTCCAAGAGTGAAAGAAATGGTTTTGCATTAACTACAGAGTTTAACCCAGGAGGTGTAGCCTAGCTTAGACTAGACTTGTACTGACAATTTGTGGTTTTAGGCAGTTATGTGCTGAAACCATTTCTCGACAAGCAATAACCATTTGGTACCATCTAGCCAGTACAGAGAATTGAATTTTGGACAGAGCCAGACTGGCTCCTGCTTCCAGTCTTTATGCCTAGTTATTATTATACTATATTGCTCAAGCGTCCCCATTTCTCCTCAGTTTAACATTTCATTCCTTTTTACATCCAGACCACCAACAACCATACCCATACAGCTCTCCATTCTAATCAGCAGTGTTTCCATAGGAACCACTGCCACGGGAACGCCGACAGCGCCAGTCTGCAATGCAGAAAAAACCCAAAGCTGACGACACAAGGACTGAGTGTACAACCTGCAAAGGACCAGGCGACAACGAAAACCTTGTGAGGTGAGAGAACGCATGTGTGTGGCTCTGAGAGGGGGCGGGGGGGTTGGGGTTATTAGACATGCTCTGTGTGTGTGTGTGTGTGTGTGTGTGTGTGTGGGGGGGGGGGGGGGGGGGGGGGGGGGGGGGGGGGCAGCAGCCATATCCTCCTGATGATTAAAGTTCAGTCTTCATTAGGCTCTGGCCGCCTGGGCTCTGCAGAATGAGGGGGCTGAGGGCATCTTCTCCATTGGCCCCCTATATTGACCTGCCACATACATTTGCACAGTTCATTAAGGCGTAATGAATAGCACAATTTATTCTGCTCCTCTCTCGGGATTTCAGGTGTCAGGCGTCTAATAGCCAGGATTCTTCTTTGACAATGGAATTCTGTGAGAAAATAAAAAACGAGATCACAGCAGGCCGCTTGTCAGCACATTGGCATGTGATGAATCTCTTGTATAAAAATGTTCTCAGACCAGAATTCCCTTCATGAGCTTCATATTGTCTCTCCCACACTGGCTTTGGCTCATTGTGACTTGAAACACTTTGACTTTTTCAATTATATTGAAACATAACTTGAGCGTGACACTCTTCCCCATCTTTTTACATCACCAATTGCTTAAACACAAAATCTCAAATAGTTGCAGGAAGCCTTTATCTGGAACAGGCTTGTATTTTCTTTTCTTTTTTCTTTCTTTTTAAGCATGTTGTATTATTTCAATAATCTCCCTCATTTCTGATCTGTCCTGCTTTACTTTACTGTTGATACAAACTCCACACTTCCTCCATCTTTACCTGGTGTCCAAATTCAGAATATTGTACATTCTACACCACTAAGTCCATTACGGCAACAACAAAGTCATGCCACTCTCATCATTCTGCTGCTAGTTTTTGGTTTTAAAAGAACCACTATGTGTTGTGTTGTGCCAAGCGTAAACACAGAGAAATGGGATCAGACCCACAATGCAAACACCAAGGTGGAGCAGGTGTAGTCTGCAGAGTTTAATAATTTAGTAATGTTAACAAGAAACTTAGATACAGACCTTTACATAACCTATAAAGCTGTGCAACAGGCAAAATAACTCAACAAAACAAAAACCAAAAGAAAAGCAGTGATCTAAGGAGGGTCAGTAGGGTGAGAGACAAAATCCTAAATCCACTGTGGTTAAATCCAGGTACCACTACTAAGACGCATGACAACTTCCAAGGGACGAGCCGACAGAAGCTAAAGCCAAGGCACTGGCAGGGAACAAAACAAGACAACGAGGGGGCAGAACAACTTCAAAAAAAAAAACAGGAAACACTGAACAAATGAAAAAATTACAAGGGAAAAACATAATACAGAGAATGAGGATAAATGCAAAGACGAAGTGAAGAGAACAGAAACGAGAGGGAAAGAAAACATAGCCACAAGATGGTGGATAATCCAAATAATTAAACCCCCCCCCCCATTCTTGGTCGGCTTTTAATTGAAAACTCGTGCAGGAAGTGATCCAGGTTTTTTATCCCTCAACAGTGATTAAAAAAATTATGCAGTCAAATCACTGGGAATTCTTTTGTGAGCAAATTCCTGTTAAAAAGACTCTGAGTATGACATGACACTATTGTTGTACTGACGAAACTAGTGCTGTCAAAATGTACAGTATGCTGAACATTAAGATGTAAGGTAGGTCACTTCACCACCCACCATACTCTCAATATTTTTACCCACTCTTTGTTATTTGTCAGAGCACGCTTATTATTGGAGACTGGACGCTGGCTTTTATTCAAGAATATACCTTTTAATGTATTAGACATCTCTGCAGAAAAAAATTATACTATGTCCATGGCAAGAGCAGTATCATGGAAACAGATGAAAGAAAAAGCTCAACGCTCGAGTTGTTTCATGTGTGGTGCTCTTGAGGCAGTGTTGAAGTTGTAAGGGTTGCTGGTCGGGGTGTGAGGTGTGCTGCCCTGACTCTTTCTATCTTTGCATTGCACAGGTTGTGAGAGCCGGGGCAGCCACCTCACCTGCCGTAAAAACTCGGGACAGATGACCTTTGGCTTAGAGACAGAGAGAGGCAAATTGAGGCATGTGAAGAACGGTGCTCGAGTCAGGCTGGAGAACGCCGCCCCACAACCACCTCTGATCCAAACTGGACCAACAACTGTCCAACGAGAATTGAGCGGAGCTGTCTGAATCTAAAACATGGAGTCTAAATTCTGAAGAACTGCTGAAGCCAATACTTTTTGGTTAATGTGGGACTCTTTTACACACTACAAGTAGCTTGGTGGATTCTTTTTGTAACCAATTGTGGCTCCAGTTGCATCTGTGCAATTGTCTTCGTCTGCAAAGTTTCCATGCAGACCATTGAATTTACAAAAAGTGATGTATTTCTACAATTCATGTATTAAACCGTTTTGGGAAATAACGAACACCTCTCTTGCACTACTTAGTTAGCATTAAACAAAATAAGTAAAAAAAGACAGAAGCGCTAACCATCAAGCCAACTGATGGATGCAACTGTCCTGAATTTAAATGATAAGACCGAGTCCTGCTATCTAATGTAGTCTCATTACTTTCTTAATCTGCTATACTTTCTTTAGAAACTGGATGTTAGACAGTGAATGATCTATCAGCGGAAATCATTTCATTTGAAAGGACAGACAGAAAGGGGGAATTCTTAAAAAATAAAGTATACCCATTTTCAATGAGGGGCAGCTTTCTAGATAGCTCAAGTGGCCATATCATGGGATCTTTAAGATTGTGTTCAAATGTGGCTGTTGAGTATAATAGGTTCGTCATGGCAGCTGAGCATAACTGTGTAGGTAATGAGTGGTAGACTCTTGGCTTGGTAGACAGCTCAGGTTGCTCGCAGTGTGGAAGCACAGAAAAGACAAAGTGCTATAAAATGCAGAAAACGACTGCAGTCGGTGGATTTTCTTCTGACGCTATCCTGAATAATTCCTCTCTATGCCTCTAGGTGCTCGCCTGCATCCAACATGTATGTAAAGTCTTCGTCACCTGCCACCCGGTTAGCCCGAGCATTTCGGTGTGAATTTGGTTAATAGCAGATGCACTTGAACCTAGGCAGACTTGAGTGTTGTGTTTTGTTTTCTAAATGAATGGAAGACCAACAGTACTGAGAAAAGTGTTGTGTATAGATAAACCAGCTGTTTCTGGTGTGTCAAGTGTAGCAGTAAAGTAATGCTACCATAAAGCATCTGTAGTAGAAACAAACTAGTGTAGTTAGCGGTAATAGCACTTAATTATCTAAATGTCTTTAGTGTCTTTAGTCATTTAGAAGTCTTCCTCTGTCTACATATCTTGGAGTGACAGTTAAACTGACACTTCCTCAGAAAGAAGCCCAGCTTTGTCTACATGTCCCTGGAGGCCCGTAGTCAGCCCTGTCAAAACAACAGCTGCTTGCTGCTCTGTCAGGGCTCATGACAACTGTCACATTCTGCCCTCATATGTCACTCTGGTGCCTATCCAGGGCCTGTATGCATGCTTTTGGGAGCAGTCAAACCCATGCAGTTTACTGCTTCTTTCCTCTCTGGAGTGTTTCCAGAAACACCACCACACTGGGTTTGTCTTTAGAGGTGAGATCTCAGTGCAGAATGACTTGCTGACTCCTGAGCAGTCCTTTCCCATCACTCATACTCAGTCTACGTGCATGGCTATACCTATTACTGTACAGTAATTTAAAGCTGAAAATAAGTGATGTGGTCTTGTAGAATTTGAATGCCAGGTATCTCTGTAGTGTGACAACGTGTACAGTATTTATGAAGAGGCCAAACATACATGTCTTTTCTTTTTGTGCCTACATACTTGATTATATATCATAAGCCTGTATTGTGAACAGAGTTGAACTCTGATTTGTGATGTAGTCTTAAGCGACCACCATATTTTCTTTTAATTGCCAAACATTTGTTTACAGACATGCTTTGAAAGGCATATTTTGGATTAATTGTGTACTGTATTACTGTGATACTGTATGAAGTAAGAATGTGAATGTTGCTGCTGTTGTGTATGTGAAGTGTCTCAGCCTCTGGCCTATAGCTCTTGAAAATTACGCGGAGCTTTAATAAACTCTTGACTTTTTCACCTTATTGCCGCAGTGATAAATGAGTGTCAGCCAGCTAATGAATTGTTCTGAAGGTGCGGCAGCGGCGGTCCGTTTGTGCGTGTAATGCCCTCTGTCATCTGTGATTTATCACCTGGGAAGTGGCCTTCTTGTTTAGAGGGGGGGGGGGGGTCAGATGAATTGTTGCTTCTCAGCCCACAGAGTACAGTCTAGAGCTGATCTGCTGGATTCTCCTACTGCAATCATTGACAAGGTTTGAAACCGTGAAAGTCAGCACACAGTATTGTAGCAGCTGATTGCTAATATTCTGACATTTACATTTGGCCATTTTCATACTAAGCATACAGGAAAATGCAAGTTCTCACATCTGTGAAAGACCCAAGACATCTCCAAATCATTTAGGGCAACTAAAGCGGACAACTCATAGAAGCATGAAGCCTTGATCAGTTGTATAACAATTATTTCATCATAATTTATGCATTATTTCATGTACATCATATGAGTTCAGACAAACTGATGTTAATAAAAGAATAAATCTAAAACAGAGCATTAAAGATAATACAGAAGGGTTCATCACCTAAGGAGCATGAATGTGCTCAGCACATTTCATGGCTTTTCTGACTTAGTTAATGAGATGTCTGTATTTAAAGTTGACATCTTGGTCTGTTTGGTGCTAGAAAAAAGTGTCTTGCAGTGTGCAAAATGTAAATGGTTCTTCCTCTGCAGAGCATGACAGTGCTCAGTAAAAGTAATTTAAGCCTGGCAAATACTGGAAGTTATTGATATATCAGCTGAAAATTGTTTTTAGAGAGTACATCTATTATTACCTAATATTTCTTTATATGGCTTGAATGTTGATGGAGCTTGATGATGGCGTAAGAGTAAAGGTAAGGGGGGGGACATGAATCATCCACATTGAATATCATGGCAGCAGTTGAGCTTTAAGGCTCATTAATTGTCATTATGACAATAACATTCTTAGTGCAAGGTCCGCTTACTGGAGTTTTCAGATGTATTTTGTGGCCATCAGATATGAAGATGTTTGCTTGGTTGTAATATAAATTGTTCACTTGTTCAGTTCATGACAACTGAGAAAACTTGAACTTTAACAATTGTGGGACAAGACAGATGGAGACCGTTTTCTTTTCAACACAGTGGCATCTCCGTGAGATGAAACCAACTCACCGTGGCGAACTGTAGCTGCCCCAATCCCTCATCCTCGACCCCCAGGATCCTTGGGGGACTGAACAGCAGCCGGCAAACTAGAGATCAGCTCGCCTACAGCTGGTTTCTGGTTTGAGGATGAGACTGAGGGCAGGATGGCGCAGGAGGGGGAGGGCGGAGGGATAAAGAGAGAGAAAAGCTAGCAGGGAGGTTCTGGAAAGCAGTAACCTTTCTGATGATGAGTGCGTTTCCCATTACTGCTCTGACACGGGATCCGGGGAGATGATTTAATGGCGGCATTTTGTTTTTGCTGACTTCACCCTTTTCCCCCCCTATTAAAACAGAAAACACAGAGCTGGGACTGGGGCTGTGTGGGAAGTGTGGCCAAGCAGCTAAAATCTATTACTCCTCAACTTCTTCCCCCATCTCTTTATCCCACTGATTCCGCCACAGTGTGGGTGTGCTCCAATGCTTCCTGAGGTAAACGCTCTTCCCTCCCATCCTCCTTAACCGGTTTCTGTCTTATCATCTTTTAACTGAACTGTGTTGCCTCCTAACCCATTTAATCATTACACACTGAGCATGAATTGCAAAGCCCTCTGGGTGCCTTAATTGATTACCTCGTCATAGACTTGTTTTAATGGAGTTGCAGTCTGCTGTAAGCTGTGTGTATCTCTAGTGGAGTTTCCGTAGCGAGGTATCGGTAGAGTAGACTGAGTTTCTGGCCGTGTCAGTCACTGCAAGGCGCCGGTTTGCCCGGCTGAGGTGAGGGCAGAGACCTGCTGCTGAAATTGACTCTTCTTCAAGGGTGTACCCAGTTCACTAGGGCCCCCTGCTGGAAAATATGAGAAACTTCAGACGCAAACAAAGCACCTGGTGAGAGCTGCAGAGATCACTCCCCTTCCCTTACATCGCAGCTGTGAATGAGTTGTCCAGATGAGCTAATAAAGGCAGCGCCACTCTGACTTAGCTTTCTCCATAGGTGCAACATCAGCAGTCCATTCATTACCCCCCCCCCCCCTCTTGTAAAACAATGGCTGTGTTATAATGATGCAGTGACCCAACAGTAAATCAAAAAAGTAGGAGGCTCACAAAGTCCAATAATCCACTCCTTTCTGTGGAAAGACACTGCCGCACTTTGTCATGGATGAGAGTCAATGGCTGAGTGCTTTGTGTCATATTGATTTCTGTCACGTGGCCACTTCCAAGGTAATTGCATTGCCCACTTGTGATAAATTCACAGCCTTGTTTCATCCACTTGGGCTCAGATACTGGGGCTGGAGAGGAAAGAAGATTTTGAGGCCACAAACCCACTGTCAATACACGGACCCATGACTTCAACATGCATCAATAACCCTACAGCTTCTGGGTCTCATCATTAAGGTTTAGCTGAGTACTTAATTTTTTTTTTTTTGTCATTAGATCTGCTCCATGTTTTGAATCTTTCTTAATATGTACTTCTCAAGGGCTGCAGCCACAGATAAGCTCATCAGAGCAGGCAAAATGATTATGCCTTAAACTCACCTTTAACTGAGATATAAACACTTAAAGCACACCTGTCACTTTTAAAAGAATAAATTATTTGTCTTACAAATGAAAAGTTGAACCTAAAAGAACTAAACATAACTTTTTTCTGGACACAGTTTTGTGGGAGAAAGTTTGTGACATGAGCAGAAAACCTGCTGAAACACAGGAGCTGTTAAAGTCCAGGAGTTTCTAACTGAATTAAAATGAATGAATTTCTCATTGAGGTGAAAAGGAGCCACATGCACATTTAAAGAGGTTATTTCCTCAAACAAAAGAGCAGGAAAGTCTAAATCATGCCTGCATGTGTGCTGACTCAGCAGGAAGGAGATTACTTGACAAGTTGATCTACAGGAGAAACAGATCTGAAAGCAGCACAGAATGCCTGAGAGCTGCTGCACTGCATTATGTTCTGTTTAAATCATTTTGAATTGTCACATGCCACCCGAGTTTTGTGTTTCCCTTCATATAAATAAAAATAAATTTCCACCATCAATTGATGGAGAAAAGGCAGAAATTGGTGCAGCCAGACTCCCGTATATTTCGGCATTAAAGATTTCTTGAAATTAAAAGTTAAAATTTCGTTTTGTTCTCGTGAACCCAATATTGTGTATCGTCTCATCTTATAAGCTAAGTGTATTGTCACACCCCTATTCAGTACACTCAGGGGTCATGGGTAATCTGATCTCAAGTGGACAGCTTGTACAGATGTGAATGCTCTCAGGAGAGATCGAATCGCTCAGGTGGTCAAAACCCTGCATGCTTTGTGCTGATCAGCTGCCATTGGAAATTCCATACAAAAGAAATAAATGAACATTGATAACATTCATAATTTGGCTTATAAACAGATGTAATGTGTAAAATGTTGTGGGACATCATATCATGGTCTAGATACAGACTGCTTTTAATAAATAAATGTATTCAATCAGACACTACAACACAGAAAAAGTAAAGAAGACATTTTGCTGGGAGTTCAAATTATTCCAAGTACATCTGTAAATCGGTAACAATGAGAATGAGAGCAGGCTGACTGGAAAACGTCACCAATGTGTTTGGTATTTTCATGCGCTAAAAAATGTAGAAACCATGCTGATCCGTCTTCTCAGCCAGGAGTTCATCCACATTTGGTTTATTTGGTTTTGATCACGCAAGTTTCTGTGAGATCCCGAGTCCCCTGAATCACCACTCTGAAATCAATTTAGTACGAACGCTGAGTGTGTGCTCCTGTGTGCGCTTTCTAAAGATTAAAATATAAAAAATCTGTTAAATCTGTCATTATGTCCTCACAATGAAAATCCTCATTGTGTGCACCAGGCATTAGACGCATTATTTTAAATTCTATCCAACTTACTCAATCTGATACTGTGTCATGTTCATCGTCATCAGCGTGATTTAAGTTGTGGTGATGCGCCACTGAGTATTTCTGCCATGTGGACGAATGGAATGTCTTTGCAGTTCCTCGAGTGATGGCGCTTCCTCTTTTTGAGACCTGGACCGAAATGTGAGCGAGTTTGGAAGAGGTGGATGAGATCAAACTGAGCCAGCTTAGATTTGTGGGTCATCAGCCCCGCTTGGCCATGGCGGATCCTGGGTTGACGCTGAAGGGGAGGAAGGGATCTGAGAACTTCACACAGAGATTAAATACCAGATTAAAGTGGACACGAATCGCCAACCGAGAGCTACATGTGTAGCAGACAAAAGCAATCAATCATGTCCCCTCCACCACCTCACCTCTAATAAGATTACATCAATCAATAAACCTCTCTTATGAGTGATTGGATTTTGTCTGCTTCCAAACTACAAGGGAGGGGGAGGGGGGGGCTACTCAATTTTCCCAATGATTAAAGCAGGGCCAAATTGCTTTGATAACATCAAGGACCTTGCTGTGGCTGAGTGTGTAAGGGCAGTGTTAGGAGCAGATAGGCTGGAGGTAGCAGGGGGCTCAGACAGTGAAGAGACTGAGAACAAAACTGACTACATTGTGCCTGGTGCACACTAGAGGACTTTCAGATCTTAACTGATTTTAAAAACGTGGGAAACCACGGACATAATGACAGATTTAATGAGATTTTTTATATTTTAATTGTAAGCACACACACACACACACACACCAGACGATTCAGTCAAAACGCAGTAAAACCCACAGTCCACTGCCTGCTCAGCACCAAATGGCAAACAGACACTGCTAGCTGGTGAACATAGTAGAGCATTTAGCAGCTAAAGAGCTAGATATTAGGGCTATAAGATATTATCACAAAAAAAAGTTGATATCAATATTTATCACGATAAATCTCAAATTATTATTTCTTTCAAGTTTAAAGGCAGATTTCCTTAGTG